GCCCCCCCCCCCGTGCTTGGGGCCCGGACCTTAAAACTAGTACCAGGGCCCGAGATGGGATGTGGCGAGCCTGCATGCAGGCTATTTCCATTTCAATCTTCCGTCACATTCTTACGGCGCAATGATACAACTATTTGAACTCTCCGGAATGCGTGAGGTATCACGCCGCATTTAAAGGCGTTTTCAAATCAGCCAAGTTCCGGTACCCGGATTATCGTTTTGCATAGTTCATATTATTTTGTTTTCATTTCTAACCACTTGTTTAAATTATAATCCTCCTAAAAAACTTGATTGCTGGTCTATTTTTTAAAAAAAATTTAAGATCCATTTTTCTTGGATTGTCTCATTTTTTGAAAAAAATATTATGATAATAACGTGCTTGTGTCATAAAAATGAGGCTTTAAATGCGTTGTGGATTTTTCTTTACTGGCGGTTTGCGAATGCATTACTCTACTTTTGATTAATTTTCTGGGAAGGATAACCTCTCATTTTACGGTAAGAAGGGGTGTTTTGTCTGTAAAGAATGAATCCCGCCTTAGCTTCGAGAGCGTCAGTGGTTTTTTCCTTGTCATGCAAAAAATTTTGCTTACAGGTATTTATAAGGGTTTCGCTGTTTTTTTGGGCTTACAGGGGGAACCCTTTTGCCCCAGTCTATCATTGAAACCTTACGTAAACATCAGACAGAATTTGATAGACGTTTAAAACGCAACCTGTGGATCTATTTATCTATTTTTTCTTCTTTTTTTCCAAAAATTACTTCTAATTTATATACCTTAATTGGTGATTTCAACGGCATTGTGGTGGAAATCTTGCCCTCAACAATCAGATCCCCTTCTCTTGAGGACCAAAGAATGACGTTCTGAACTTTGGCCTTGGCATCCATCTCGCAGTCCGTCTCCTCAAAGCCGAACATCAGAGGTTTCCGCTCCATAAAAAAAGAAATCAGGTCAAGAAAACATACGGAAATAGGTGTAAATTTTTCATTATTGCGTGAAAGAAGAAAAAAAAATTGGACTTGTGTAAATTACTATTCTGCTATACGGTCGGTACAACATTACACGGCGGTTACAGCCCACATAGTTACTGTCAGTAAATAGACCATGTTCACCTGGTTTGCAGTTTCAGCAGCAATCGCGTGTAATTCACTGTGTTTACATGCTCTTACGCGCGGACTATGGCGCGCCTTCGAAAACTTGGGTAGGCAATGTGAAAGTCTTAGGAGCATCTATAGTTGCTTACTGCAGTATGCCCGTAAGCACTCGGTTTGGTGATGGATTTACATCAGGTCACTTCTGAATAAAATTCTTTTAAAAGCTTTTTAATCAGGTATTTTCCCTGGAGTCACCGTTTTCTAGTAACGTATTCATGATTTCAAATCTGTTCGAAGTAGACAAAAAAAGTAAATTACGCGCTAATGCTTAGCATGGAAGTATTTTATTAAAAAGAAGAAGAAAAACCAAGAACGTATGTAGACACTCCGAATTTTATGAGTTCCATTTTGTACTATACCTCTAGCCCTGGTAAAAATTGGCAATAGAATCTGTGTTCCAAAATACCATAGACCTACAGCCGGCTGTAAGATTTCCAATAGCTTCTATAGTCGGCAACACAATTTCTTATAGCCTTTTATAGCCGATGGCGACTAAGCAACAGCCTGGCGATTAAGTATATGCTAAACGTTACTAATTACGGATGCTAGGACTCGGCGAGTTTTTGGACTACCGCTCTCTTTTTGGACTGTAGTATCTTAATTTATTTTGCGAGGAAAGCTCCGTACTTTTGAAGGATGCCTGCCATTCCTAATATGTTGGAGCGCCTTCAATTTCGATACTGTGCAATACCTCTGGTGTGAAATAGTTGCTTCAAGCGCCGTGCCGTGGTACACTGCGGCGCGGCGCGGCGGGCGGGCAGCCAGCGTGGAACGCGCATTGGCGCCTACAAACCTAACAGGGATACTTCACGCATTGCGCAATGCGTGAAGTATCCCTGTTAGGTTTGGAGGCGCCAGTGCGCTGCCGCTCCGCTTTTTGTTAGGCTCTAATATTTGATCTCGTGGAGTCAGCGTTTTTAAACTCATGACTCTGAAATGTTTGCACACTCTGTATGGATTATTCTCATTTTAATTGATGAAAAAAAAAATATGTAGTATAGGAAAATATAATGTGCGCTTTGTAAATATTAAGGTGATTCCGTACAATTTTAGAGATTTACAAAGCACACGAAATTCTACACACTTTCTTATAGCCTTCTATAGGTGATGGTGAAAAAGTAACAGCCAGGCGATAAAGTGTAAAGCCCGGCGATAGGAACTATAGCCCGGCTGTATAATTTTTTATCGCTTCGTATAGCCCTGCCGTATGATTTTTTTCCACTTTCTACAGCCAGCTATATGATTTTCTATCGCCTTCTTCAGTCGGCTATAAGAATTCCTATGGTATTTTGAAACGCAGCTCCTATCGCCAATTTTTACCAGGGCGTGCTTTACCTCGCATATGAAAATTTTTGTTCAACGGTTCTTTTCGGTTTAGGGGGGGGGGTAAGAGTTCCAGGTTGAAAGTCAATTCAAACTGTCAACGTTCGTGAATAAATGACAGTTGATTTACAACATCAGGTAATCTTCGGGAAACGAACATTTCAATGGCTCTTTTTAAATCTCGCACCTGAATTTTCAATTTCTGCTTTTGTGTTTTCACTCGCCTCTTTTTAGTTCCTCCGTTTTAGTGCTTTAAAAATATCCTTGTAAATACCACATATCGTTGGTGAAACTACCAGACTACGTATCTCGTTTGCAGTGTCTAAAAATCTCCACTCCTATTTCAATTTTTTAAGGAGGAATAAATCAACACCATTTCTTGAAATTTTCACTGAGTTTTCTTCGCACAAAGAAGAAAAAACACGGAAATTTTAAGAATTGACGTTAGACAGTTTTCCATTTAAAAGATAAAGCATGACAGGAAGTTAGACAACGTCGCAATCCTTCACATCTTTTGCGTAATTTGATCCCTTGGATAAAATATTTAATTTTTTTTTTACCTTTCCGAGGATTTCATCATTTCCCTCGTCGGTTGAGTTGAGGTGAGCCGTCACATTCGACATAATGATATCAACACAAGTATCGAAATGTTCGCTGTCCAAAAAACACTCATTTTCGATGATGTCTTCCTCAGAGTTCAGAATTTGAGTTGCAATTTGCGTCATTTTGCAGCCGAGGACCCAGAGAATGAGTGCTCGAATAATAATCAACATGTCCTTTGAATGCTTACACTTTCGTTCAATGCCATCCTTTAAAAAAACTCTATATCGATACTAAAGTTTTCTTATCACTTTCTGTCCTATCGTGTAAATTCGATTAATGCACTATAAAAATGATTTAAAAAAGAAAGAAAAAACGCCGCGACGTTTGATCATTACGAGGACACGAAATAAAATCATTAGTTAGACGTGAACTGAACATATTGATCATAGGCACTTACACTAAATTAAATGGTAGCAATATATTCGTACATTTATACTAGAGCTAGTTGTTTTTAGGTATTTATTGCAAGTGAGATCACTCAGACGGTGGGTAGGAAATGTGTCGAAAAACAACACTAAAAAAAATTAAAATATGCGAAGAAACACAAAATCGTTTTGTACAGTCGATGACACTACTGATGAACGAGCCCTGGAAAATTGAAACTAATAATTTAAGTTAGTTTATTTCTTACACAGCTCCTGCTATGGGTATTTGTGCACTGCGCGAACTTTTTCTCTATTCATTAAAAGGGAAATTGAAGCACAGAATGAGGTAAAGAGCAAAATTTTTGAAATGAGTCAGCGCCCAAATCGTCGAACATCAATATAAAGTGAAGATGGTAAATGATGAATCCATGATACACATCCTTGATTCCATCGGCGAGAACTGACCAACTCGACGTCAACTCGCGAAACTATGAAATCGAATTCATCAATCGTCTATGTGCTTCATGTCTTTATGTTGCGAATGATTCGGCTGCGGTGTATTTATTTCCTCCTGCAATTTCCTTTCGATTTCATGGGCATTAGACGTGAGAAAAAGATTATCCAAGGGTGGTTTCGCAGATCGCAGACGTACAGTGAGCCATACAGTGGCTAGTCTAGGCTGAAACAGCTAGTGATCTCGTGCTCTGAGTAGTAGCCTGATTCCAGATTCCATAACTAATCGCAAATGGAGATAGTTCTCATCGGGACTACGGAGATTGCGCTTGAGTAGATGTTTACTGCTGATCTCAGATATTATGGCCTCCATTTTTCTCATTTAGCGCAGTTTTGTCCGAAAAAAGCGGAATTTTCGCCGATTAAATGCATTTTTGGGGAAAATTTCGATTTTTCTGGGCCGAATCAAGCTGGTCAAGAAAAACGGGTGTCATTTTCGGAATCAGCGCTGTGAATCTACGAGAAGTTGTTCAACTGTTAAGAAATAAATTTTAAAAACAATGTACTGGTTGACTATTGTTTTTTTTTTTCCGAAGTTTACAAGAACACACTGTCCGTAACCATTGCCAAAATTCAGACAAACGGTGATTTTCCCCAAAAATTGGAGGACTACAGCTCCTTCAGGTGACGCTTTTGGAGAGAACTTTTTAGAAGAAAAATGTCTTAATGTGCCCATAGAATATACGCTACCTACTTTTAATTCTGGGACACCCTGTATAAGGCCAAGGGATTTCAGACCGAGCTTTAGTGAGTGTGCTATATTACTTTATTCTAATTTTTATTTTTTCTCCTAATCAAAAATTGCATGGAAATCAATTTTCAGACGAACAACTCCTTTTCGATTCTCTGATTGAAGAGAACATGAATGAAATTGCGAACATGCGTGTGAATGCCATTGAAGCTGTGAGGAGTTCAAATTGGAGAAGTTTTGCAAACGTTATAGTTTATAGTCCTTTTCGGCGATTTGCGATGACAAAATAAAGCGCAACTTGTTCGAGATTAAAAGACTATTATTCATGGTCATTGTCACGGCTACTCCGCGTTGCGCACGCGGCGCGTGGCGTGGCGCTGTCAGGAGAATACGCGGGTCAAAACTGGTTCAGTTGGACCATGTTTTACGGTCTTCAGTTCGTATCCTCACAGTTGCCACGTTGTATGTCCCTCCAGTAAGTCACGGGAAAAAATATTTTTGTTCTTTTGGTTCTCTTTTGGAGAAAAAAAAAGCTTTGCTCTTAAAATAATCATAGTAGCTTTCGAGTCCCACCTATATTCCTCAGAGCAGTTCACGGTCTTCAGTTCATATCCTCACAGTTGCCACGTTGTATGTCCCTCCAGTAAGTCACGGAAAAAAATCTTTTTGTGCTTTTGGTTCTCTTTTGGAGAAAAAAAAGCTTTGCTCTTAAAATAATCATAGTAGATTACGAGTCCCACCTACATTTCTGAGATTAGTTCAATGTTACTTGGTTTGTATCATATAAAATAGGTCGGACCAAATAACAATGCTGCATTGCAACTGGGACCGGAATACATGTTATTACAAACAAGACTTTAACATTGTGACCAAGATTAGAAAAGTAGATGGTACTTGGAATCACGATGAACATCGTGCAAGAGCAACGATTCTTTTTTCTTTGTGCTCCGTACAGAGTGAATGCTAGGATACGAGACATCTTCAAAGCGGTGTGCTTAATGAATTGAACCGTAGGTTCAGCCAGAAAAAACGGCTCCTCCATTAAAAAAAGTTCAAATGTTAAAAATGCCTACATTTCACATGTCACTTTTTGGAGAAGAAAATATGGGGGGGGGAGTATTTATAATTGCTTTATTGGGGTAGAATAGGGTAAAAAGTAGGGACAAAACTGAAGCATCGTAGTGTATATCCTGCGTAAAGCTTCATATCAAGTTAACAAGCTTCAATACGAAATTAAGACTGCTTCCTGCCTTGACTTTTTTAAAGATCTGTAATGAATCAACACCTCCTGAAAACTGAGAGTTGTCCTAGTTTATAATTGGATTCTATTCCTTTCAATTTCCTTCAGTTTTTAAGAGAACTAATGTAGTTCGAAAAATTAAGGAAAGAAAATTTCCACGATCCGAAATGATACATTAAAAGAACTGGTAGACAAATTTCGGATTGCCAAATTTTAAATCTCCTTCTGCTGCACCTGCCGTCCTGCCGTGTTGGCCCAACTCATGATCTTGTTATTCTCCCTACCCCTGAAATTAGGTGTGCGCATGCGAAACAGCAGCACTTAATTCCACTATTCCGTTTCTTCCTCTACGAGGAAAATGTCTTCATCCTAGCAATGCTACACCGTGGCAACATTTACTAGCCTGTTGTCCTGTTTGTCGTTTGAGCCACGGACAACATAAAAACAATCAAATTCCATCGTATTATTACATTTTTTTCGCGGTAATTCCTGTTTCTCCCACCCCTCACTTCCTTACCCCGTTTTGCCGTCTGTAAGTACTTTTCTGAGTTTCACTGTGCCTCCGCTTTTGAAGAAAGATCAGTATGAATGGCTACTCAGGATCAGTCTTTTTCAGATCATTTGCGGGTGAGGATTTATTTTATTTTGATCTCTACAGCTCAGTTTCAAGAGTTGAAATACAGGAATAGTCAAAGTCAGTAAATAAACTCTGAACTATCGTGAAATTAAACAGGGATGGTAAAATTAATTTAACTGAACCAATCAATTAGAGTAATTTTATAATTTCCTCCTCAGCCAGAAAGTTTATTTTTTAAGTGTATTTATCGAAAAAAATACACTAGTTTTCGGCCTTTAATACTCCCAGTTCAGTTTTATTTTCAGATCAAAGTGGATGCAAATTAATCAGAATAATTATTTCTACATTGATGAAAAATTAAGAAAAGAAGAAGTAGATACAGATAGAATGTTAGAGTCATAGGATTCCTTAAGATACTTTTCTGCAACAACTTTAAATTAGGTTCATTTACAAAATAACCAGGAGGCTGTGCCCCCTTACCGCTTTGCATCCCCCCGAGGCGCTTCGCGCATTTGGCGTTATGTGTTACACGTTACTCTTATGATTTTACATTACAGGAGAGGCACGATAAGTTGGACCACATTTTGCAAAAAGGAACCACTATTTCTAGATTATTTTAGAAACAGCATACGTGTCATGGGTTTCCCTATTCAGGAAGGTGCTTTTATGGAAGAGCTAGAGATTGTGGTCCCTTGTTGCAAAATGTAATCCAGTTAATCGAACCACTGACGATAGACCGAGTGCTTATCAAGGCAATGGTGAAACGCAAACAACAATATTTTCCTATTTTAGTGTTTCACCAATTTTGTGCAACTATCAAACATTCTAATGTGTACGCAACAATTTCAGGGAATATATTCATATGAGCAGACAAAATTTAAAATATATTATTTAATACAAAATGAGTGAGAAATTTGTAATGTTGTACACCAGGCGGGTGTTGGATTTTCTAGTTAATCTACCACCATGACAGCTGCATGAGCCCGATCTCTTAAAACTTTTAAATTACAACCCAGGGAGCAGCTCTTTGAGGGCGCGAGGCAACTTCGGGAGGGTTGGACCGTGTAGCGGCCAGCGGGCTGACTATTGAAATTGATAGACAAAGCGATGGACAAAGAAGACATAGGGAGCATGGACCGACTCCATCGGTTGAAATTGGTGGTTCTTATAGACTAAGGGGACAAATGATGGACTAACTGTCGGGCCTCTCATGGCTTGCCGTTAGGTAGTCTATTACATGCCTCCTTTGTCCATTGCAACCACCAGGCTCCTCCAACAAGATCCCTCCGTATCCCTTTTGTCTTCTTCGTCCATGGCTTTGTCTATCAATTTCAACAATCAACCCGCAGGAGTGTATCCCTTAGTTAAAATGTACTTATAGCTGCTAGTCAATTGGTCTATTCCGCGGGGAGTCAATGATCTAAAGACCGAAACCGGACGTCACAGCTATTCGCGGGTGTCGCGCAAGTTTGGTCAAGACTATTCTTCGAAAAGGTGACCCGGAAAGCGGCGGAGTTGATTTCAAGTTTTACGGCTCCACTCAAGGCCCATCGCATTGCATTGTCTAAGCGCCGGGACAGGCGGCGACTTTTAATTGCTGAATCCTAGTCGTCGTGTTTGGACCGTCCGACGGATCCCGCTCACACATCGGTGTACCGGGTGCGCGTCACGCGGGGTCTCCAGTTCGAATCCCGCCGATAATCAAAGTGTTTTAAACGTGTTTCAAAGTGAGGTGAGGCCTGGTGCCTACCATTTTGAATCGTTTATTAGTAGTGGTGCCGAGGACGGGGAAAGGTTGGTTTTTCGGGGCAGGATTCTCTAAGTTCTTCACATTAGTAAATACTTGCAATTTTTCCAATTTTTTATTCATACACATATACTGCCGTACTAAGGAGAAACGTCGTATGAACCTTCAGGCGTTGCCAAATTTCCTCTCACAAATCACTCATTTTCATGAAATTTTTTGAATATTTTCCTTCCAATCTCTCCGGTAATTTTGTTTGCAATTTGAAAAGTCTGAAAATTTCAAGGAAAAACATTGATATTTTTCCTCAAAAATAAACAGATTGTCGGAGAAAATTTGGCAACTCTCGAATGTTCATACGGCGTTCTTCCTTAGCACGGCAGTATAGGAATGACTTAAATGAGTCAATGTAGATAGGCTGCCACCTAAAGTAAACAAGATCCGGTTCGGCTTTAAAAACTGTGTTGAAAATTCTTCAGCGACGTGAGAATTTTCCAAAAGAACATGCGGCTGTTAAGACCCTTAGCCGTATGCACAGGGTATATTATCTTACTAGTTGTGCCCGTTCAATGTGCCGTGTTCCGGGATTCATCGGCTCAAAAACAACCCCGCGCTTCGAGATTGAGGACTTCAACGACGACCACTACCGAGAGTGAACCATTCGAGGAACCGGTGACATCATCGGTGTTTGAGGAGTTGCATCCTACGGAAGAGCAGGCGTCCTCAACAAGTGCAGAGCCAGAGACGACCCCTCTCAGCAATCCACTACCCTTGACTGTGGATCCCGCGGAACCCAGTCCGGATTTTGTGAGCATAGAGGAACAGAAAGAGGAGATACCCAAGAGGAAATCATGGGTTCAGCGTGTTGCCTACGTCGTCAAGTCACCGAGGGTGGCTGCTCGTTCGGGGGCTCGAGCTGTTGTCGACGAGGGTGCGTCTTCAGACACACAGGATGATTTTGAGAACTTGAGCTGGGTCTCGCAGGTGATAACCAAGTCCATGTGGAAGTACACTCCGCGCTCGGAAAGCAACAGTGCTTGCACGCATCAAGGCGAGCTATATCGAAGGCACTTCAGTAACTTGACTCAATGGGCTGTCAAAAGTGAGTATAATTTTTTTTGTTCATTTTAGTTTTTTGTTCGATGCTCACCGCTCGACTATCTGAGGGAGAATTTTAAATAGAAAATTAGGATTATTCTGTGGTAATCGAAAGAAAATTCCGTCTTTCAAATAGCCAAAAAATCGGGTAAAATATATTGGAACATCACGGAGAATTTCCCAGTGCGACTACAGGAATGTCCTGTTAATAATGTATTCATATAAATTACATTTGAAACACGCAGTTGGTATTTCTAGGGTAGCATGAAACGTAAGAAAGAAATAAAGGATTGGAAATTTCATTGAAATATTTCATGAAATTTCACGAGGCTGTGGAATATTTCATATTTTCCAGGGGCTGGAGTATGCAGTCCGCACTCAAAGACACAAAACTAGAAGAAAGTCACACTTTTTACATTTTGCGAAACATGAAAAGGAACCGGTATTTTCCAATATCTTTCACAAATTTTTAAAATTTCATGGAATATTTTACGCGAAATTCCAAGATTTTATTTTTCATTAAATTTTGCCACCCTGGGAATTTCCATTGTTCCACTGGGCTTTTGGTTGCCGTGACAAGATTCCCATCGACACAACTGCAGGCAATCCAATTGTCTTGACTAGGAATTGGAATAGAAAATTATTAAAGAGAAATTTTTCTTCCCGCGATGAACATGCAGAGTGAGATAGCCGCTTCTGCGCAGTAGTTGCAGGGGTAAGAAAGATAGATGTACGTCTCCGTATACACCCGTGGCTGAATAAATCTCTGCGAAAAATTTATGCGGGAAATAGTGCTGTATATTTTGATCAGCTATCGTCTCGGTTTCACCCTAAATCCAACCTTCAGGAATACGAGGCAATTATAATGAAATCCATTCGTAAATTAAACACCGTAACTTCCAATGCACGTGTTCTCTTATTGTTACGCAATGTCAAATTGTCAGTGTTTTGTCCTCGCTTCAGCAGTTATTTTTTAATTTCCCCGCTCTTTCAATGAATCACGCTTTTTTGTAATGTTGTATAATTTAAGACTTCAGTTAGGTCTTGCTAACCGTCTGATTTTCCTGAGTGTATTAGTAGCGACTTAAATTTTGTCGACGCTGAGAAAATATTACTAGTCTCGCATATTTTATGCCACAAAATTGGATGCAATCTAGGGTGCACTCTGAAATCTATTTGTTTTTGCGTTAAAACGCTCTCAGATTTGTAGCGATTAGTTTGAGTGTGTGAACCGCTTCTTAATATAATTGAGTATTTGCTACACATTGTTGGTGCGAGGGTGCGGGCGTGTGTGTGGGAGAGGAGGGGAGGATCGATGGGAGGCCATGTTTTCTTCTATTCAAGGACTAAAGGTTGAAACCAATAAAGAATTCATCAAACAGGAATGAAGCATAAACTTAAACCTATACGTACAATTGCGCTTAAAAGACAATAAACTGCAGATATATCTCATTAAATTATAATGATTTTTTTCCCCTCTTAATTATTTTGTAAATGGACCGAAGTTTCTCGTTCTTTTTTACTCAACGTTGTCCAGATTTTACAGTAAATTGTTCAAAATGTACTTTATAAAATCAATCATGAAACGTTCCGAGTGACGATTTTTTAACGTAGCTATCTCCTCATTACATGACTCATCCTGAATTTTTTTTCTGATTTTTACCTCCAACCTGAGGAATTGAAAATTGGTGTTTACCCAGGGCCAAGAATAACATTGATAGTAAAACAAAAATGCGTGCAATTGTGCATTTCGACCATATTTTGTGGAAAGAAACTGCTACTTCTGGCTCATTTTAGAAACAACGTATAAGGCATAAGTTTTTCTGTGCAGATAGATGATTTTATGAATGAGTCAGAAATAGTTGTTCCTTATTACCAAATGTAGTCTACTTGTACTGTGTCGGATGGTTTAATGTTATTCAAATGACTCGTAGGTGCCAAACTATAAGCCTTGTGTCTCACTGTTTAAACAAATTTTCCTTTTCAATATGTTTTTCCTTATACTCATTCCGAATTTTTTTATGTAAGAGTTCTAAAATCCGGTTTTTGTGCTCTACCGCACTGTCCGAGAAAAAAAAAATTGAGGTATAGGTCGGGAAGCAAGTGATTCATCATCGCATCTGGTCTCATTTAAAGAAACCCTCTTTTTCGAAGGTGTTAATTAATATGCATTGAAATGGTATATTCTACACAGGATATGTTTTCCTTCACGAGGAAAGCATTTTTTCCAAAGGGAGTTCATCCTCCTGGCTGAGGATCCTCAGGGCTATATCATCATATCGACGATGAAACTGCACGGAAAAAACGGTTTATTGCACCCATCTGAAGAGGCTGGTCAAATGACATCACCTAGTTTTCGGTAACCGTCCTGCCCAGACTTGTGTATTTTCAAGCAAGGGTGAGGATGGTGCCTACCGAAAACCTGAACGATGCGATTTCAGGACCTAGCCCTAGAGTCGTTTTTTCCTTGTACGAAGACATAGATTTTGCGTAGGGTTTTTAAAAATTTCCGTCCTTCGTTCATTAAAAAAAGAAAATTTGAAAATTCATGCACGAAAACGAAGGACACCTAAAAGGGTGAAAATGGAAAGGAGAAAAAATAATGCGCAAAATTTTGTCAAACAACGATGATCTGTTGGATTGAATTTTGCAAAAAGGAACCAAGGGCATTCCGATGTTGCTAGGATTGTGCAACTTACGCGGTTGCAATAAAATTACTGAAATCATGAAAAAAATTAAAATTACAACGGTAACTTTCATCTTGAATTTAGAGTTTATTACGAGTAAAGATACAATTTGTTTAGAAAATCAGTTTTCATTTGCGAGGTAAAAAAATTTGCACGATCTTAGCAACATTGGAATGCTCTTGGTTCCTTTTTGCAAAATGCAATCTAGGTATCCGTCGATAAAAGAAGGTACGATCACAAAAATCCTCATAAACTGCGATTCATGGTTGGGTGATTTCATCATCGAATCTGAACTGAATAACTGCGACAGCGTGCATTCCGTTTCCTGTGTTTCAAACTTTTCGCTTCCTTTTTACGTCATCAAAGGAGAATGAACCAACGCCATTGATTGAACTCCTCACAAAATATTTTTCAGACACGGAGGAAATATCAAGGTAGTTTTTAAAAGATGACGTTGAGTATTTTTCCGTTTAAAAATGAATCATGACCGGAAGTCTTCAGTGTCGCAAGCTGAGGTATGTGTTTTTGCATTTTCACCGTCGATACAGTGCTAGAAAATAACCCCATTGTTGGTGAGAAGCTCCTTAAAGCTGGACCAATTCGATTGTTTAAATTTCTTTGCAATTTAGTAAAAAATGTACTTTTTTTCTAATAATGGGATTCTTCTCTGGTTTCAGTGTTCGATTCAGCGGACATAGCACCAAATGGAGTTTTGGAGACTGATCATCTGAACTCGGGGCATTTTGACGAATGTCTGACCATCGACGTAAAATCTTTGGATCTCAAAGGTCAGTACTGCTTGGTTAAAGCTGAGTACAGCCCCCACAAAGAGCTCAGTCCGGAATTTTGGGCACCTGACAAAGAAACTAATTACAATCAGCCGGATCCCATGAAAACAGTCTGGCTCGATGCAAAGGTATGATATATGCACTGTAGATATATGTACTGTATTTAAATGTGTGTCCGATTCAAGTCCTTGCGAGGACCGGTGGATACCTCTTGGAGAGTGACAGAGGGCTAAAATAAAGGAATCGGTTTCTGTTAGAAAGGCATAAGTCCAAAAATTCATGAGCCCTAGCGTCATGCGTGATCAACGAAAACCAGGGCTTATGAGTTTTTGGACTTACACTCGTCTCACAGAAACCGGTTAAAATATGGATGATTAACATCACGCATCGTGGGCATGAATGTTGAATTATTGAATTTCGGATGACACTATATGGAATCAATCCCGCGTTCAATCACCTTTGGCAATCATTAGCATGAATAATTTCGATTGCATTCTTTGGCCGATTTGTGATCGTTTTTAATCAGCAATTTATCAGCTAATATATATTATGATGGGTTAAAAAAATTCAGGATACACGACGGTTGAATATGTTGCCGATTTTATGCAAACGTACGCAATTCACAACGATCAAATTTAGTAATTAACAAATTTGCATTCATCAGATGGTTCCTCTGCGTAATTTCCTCTTACTCATGCAGTAACCTCCCAATTTGCTCCAACAATACAAGATCGGGAACTTCAAATGCAAAACAATGCTTGATTTAATCAAGCAACGCTCAATGAATCAACATTTTGATGAATCATTAGAGTTCATCACGAGGTTTATTTTTGTTTGCGAAGTTACTTCTCGCAATGTAGCAATGATTTTTTCTTCTAAAATTAGTATATTCTGATCTGTAGCTCGAACGACCATTGCCCTTCTTTCCCCAGATAATTAGAACCGATGGTTTTCATGCAAACCACTATTGAAAGATACAAAAAGAAGGTAGTTTAAAAGTCTTGTCTAGTAGAGATGAGGTATTGATCAATTTTTTTTTCGTAACTTCCTCCTTTTAAAACGCATCCAAGCGCAAATGTAAGTTTTTGAGATCAAATGCAGCTATGTTCATAACCATGCGTTAAACTCTCCTATTAAAATGATTAACTTGAAAAACTATATATCCCTCCAGGTTTTAATTTTTAGAGGGTATATGGTTGGAACTGGATACGAGCTATTGACAAGGAATAAGCAAGCTTTAATTTGTCCTAAAATGAAATTCCATCTCTTAATTCTCAAGGACCTTAGGGTACAAGACATTTCTCTGCAACAATGCTTTCTTCACAATCAAATGTTGTTAGTTGAATAAAAAATCATCCGAAATAAATTTTTCCCCCAAGAGATTTGAATTATGTTGCGTAAGCTTGGAAGTAACGCAATTCAGTTACGAATCGTATTCAAATTCTTCAACATTTTCCTCTTCTCTTGCAAAAAAGACTTGCAAAGGCCCTCCTCAAGGAAAGTGAGAAAATACGTAGAGCGCAGTACTTTGATCAGTTGTTGACTTCAGCGAGCTATTTCGGAAAGAATTAAGAATATAACGAGGCGTTTTTTAGTCTGTTCCGGAGAGCGCATGGTCAATTTTTAATTTTTTCCTCTTCCCAGGCTAATCCCTACCAATATAAGTCAAGAGTGGAGGTAGCTACCCCCGGTCGAGGTATAAAATACAGACTTCTTTCCCTTTGATCTCTTGAGCCGAGAAAACATCACGGTAAAAAAAAACCGACTTATCGGGCACATTTAAAGACCTTTAATTGGACTGAGCTAAGCAGAGAGGAACCAATCCGCATTTTGGAAAAAATTGAGTTATGAGTGGTTTTGAACTCAACCACTGCTCTACTATCTATCGCCAAAAATTCAAAGTTTTTGTTGGAGCGAATTTTGCAGAAATTGAACTTGAAGTTCATCTTTTACATTGAGTCTTATGCAGAAACTAAACTTTAAACCTCTTTTTCTCGGTTCGATCCCGATGTGGCTTGGTTCCTTTCTGTTTAACACCGTCCAATTTGCACCTAGATAAATTTAAGTCAACTTCCTTTAAAAAAACACACAGATTTGTACCTTCTGTCGGTCACATTAAAAACTGAAAATGACCAGGTAACGATCTTAATTGAGAAATTCGAGCCATAATTCATTACAGGAGCGATTAAAAAACAACGGTGCCGAAAACGTGAAGTGACGCAACTAAACGCCAACCGCTCAAGGTCATGTGTGTGACTGACCTGTTCTCTCGTCACTCGAGAGAACCTGAGCATCGGGTGTTATGATCGATCTGTTTGTCGACCCACCGAATAAAGTGCGAGCGGACCATGAAATTCGGGTTGGTGGCGTTACTGATTCGCAAGGATGACAAATAAATGAGTTCTAAGACTTGTCGAAGCCTTCCATTGACGCTTTTGATGGTTTCCACTTTTCAGCCTCACACGGACCCGGCGCGGAAGAACAGGAGCGAGTTTGAGTTCGCGGTCTGTCTGCCGAAGTCATGTTCAGCCCGAGATTTGCAGGTGTCGCTCCAAGAGACGGTCAACCGAGTGGCCGCTGCTCACAAGCTCAACTTTAAGCTCACTGTCAGACCCCAAGACTGTGCTATAAAGGACCCTGAAATCCGCGACCCGCTTGGATTCACCCTCACTGTGTAACGGCACTTGGATTACATTTTGCAATAAGGAACCACTATCTCTGACTCTTCCATAAAAGTACCTCTCTACATAGGGAAACCAATAGCATTCATGTTGTTTCTAAAATGAGCCAGAAATAGCGGTTCCTAGGAACCGCTATTTCAAGATGGCATATTATGGCTCATTCAAGAAGCTTCTTGCAAAATGCGGTCCATTTACATTTACTTATTGACAAATATTTCGGATCTTAAAAATAAGGAGGAATATACTGCCGCGCTGAGAAAAAACGTCGTATGAGCCTTCAGGCGTTACCAAATTTCCCTTGACAAATCACCAATTTTTAAGAAAATTAGAGAAAATTTTTCTTCCAAATTCTCAGGTAATTTTGCTTGTATTCAAATCCAAAAGAGCTGAAAATTTCAAGGAAAAGTACCTATTGATAATTTTCATCAAAAATACATATTTTATAGGAGGAGATTTGGCAACTCTCAAATGTTTATACGGCGTTCTTCCTTAGCACGGCAGCGTGCACCAGAGGGATTCAAACATCCACCTCCACTTTCCGATTCAATTTTTAGCAGAAAATGGAACCATTCCGCCTGGAGGTACTTTTCACCTGTTTCTTCACAGCTAGAAATTCAATCATGTAAACTCTAAAATACAGCTGAGAGTGTTCAAATGAAAAATTTTGTGATCAATGTGTCAAATAAAAATGTCATTTTTGGCGTTTGGATATTTCCAGCTTTGACTCAGATTCCACGATTGATATTGAACAGGATTTTTTGGGAATAATCTGCTGAAACGTACCTCACGTAACGAATGCATTTTCTGCCGGAAATTTTAATCAAACCAATATTATAGCAAAACATGTTCAATAACACGATGATTTCTTACTCGTAAATTTGCTCACAAATGTACTCTAAGAGTTAGTCCTTCGTGTGAAAAAATTAAAAATAACAGCACCACAATTAAATAGTAAAACAAACATCAACAACCTATTAATCCAAAGAAATATTAAACGTGAATTATCTTAAAAATGTAAATACATATACATCCATTTTTCTGAGAATTTGATGAGGCTAATGTACCAGATAGGAGCTACCAAAAACGAGAGTTGGTATTCGTTATCGCGTAATTTTTCTTGGAATTTGAAAACCGTAATATTCGTGCGGCGCGGCGGTCATTGCGCCAAACACAGTGCGGTCAGGAGCGGTTGGCGTGAAACGTACAGCGCCTACAAGACTGCAGAAATACTTCACGCATTGCGCCAATCACAGTGCGGTCAGCGCGGCGCGGCGGCGGATGTTAAAATTATTAAAGCACATTTATGTTTGTTCTTTCATAATATTTTCGTTCATTTCATGTAAATGGAAGGCCTGGTCCACACAGAGATAGGTTTACGGAACTTAACTTTCGCGTCAAGTTACGTGAATTTTTGCGAGTAGTGTTGACAGGGCTTTCGCAAAAAATGTGTTCAACACGAGTAAACATGTCTTATCTAACCATCGTGTTTCTCGCAAACTTTTACATAAGAAACAACAGTCAAATCGCAAATCCCTCACACATGCAACATCTCCATTAGTAGGTAACTGATCACTAATCTCAGTGATTGCTGATGGTAGGGGTTTCCTGCTAGTATAAAATAATTTTTTACTTTTACTTTTAGGTTGATAGGTCTGAGCGCTGGAGGTCTCGTTTTCATTGGCACATTTTTGGATATTCTGGTTTTTCAAAAAAACAAGTCGAAAAGTTTACTGCGTAAGTAAATTAATCAATTGAAAATGATTATAAGAAGAATTATAATCTATCTGATTAAAAGTGATTGTGCGATTAGTATACATCTCTTCACAGCTATGAATAAGCAAGTGCAATTTATGGCAGTCCCTTGAAATTCTCCCTCGAAGATTTAATCAAATATGTTTCAAAACTCAGAACGCTCTTTTTCGGCATGCCAGACGTTTCCAAGGTTCAAAATGCACTAATTTTCTTCAATAGCGGTCCAAACAAAGAGCGTGATTACAGCATCCGTGAAATATATTCAGTAACGAACAGATCTTATTCAGGGCACGGTGGTATTTCCCCAAGCTCGATCTTTTTGGCTGTTAACATTCGTACTCCTACACTTTGCACTGTCATTAACCCCTCTTTATACCAAATTTTCAGTGTATTACAGAGTCATTGTCACTCACTTCACTTACTAATTCAAACATTTTTAACTCGTATTCCACTCTAATACCAAATCAATGCAATCAATTTATTTTTGGCAATGTATCCTCGACAAAGAACAACAAGGGAATCACTGCTACTTTGCCGTGCCAAGGAAGAACGCCGCATGAGCTTCCAGACGTTGCCATGTTTCCTGCAATAAAAAATTTGTTGGGAAAATGTCTAACATTTTTTCAAATTTTGAAGATAATTTCATCCGGAATTCAATCTAAAATATCAGAAAATTTCAAGGAGAAAATGGGCATAACTTCCCTCAAAAATGCACGTTTTATCTGAAGAAATTTGGCAACTCTCGAATGTTCATACGGCGCGGCGTTTTTCCTTAGCACGGCAGCTTTTCACATCATTGAATGAGCCACCTCTTTGATTCAAAGCATAATTATCACAATTACGTATCGAAGCCGTGTCATTTTTGCAGGGACTTGTCTCAAGCCGTTCTCAGTAGCGAGAAATTTGGAGAGACTCCAGAAACCTAGCGAGGATGCAGAATTCACACCTGTAAACTTCTTCAAACTTGTCATCTTGGTGCAGATTATCAATGGACATCGAATCATGTTTACCTTCGGTAATAGGATTTACAACCCATCTTGGATTGAGAGGGTAAGACTCATGATACAGGATACACGCATCATATTGAAATGAATTTTGCAGCTCTCGTCAGAGCAGAGATGCTCTACCAAAAGCTCAGGCATTATGCCAGTTCAAGTATTTTTGAAAAATTGTAGGTATGATAAAATCGCTCATATGAATTGGATTTTTTTAATGAGTGATTGCAGTTTTTGAAAAACATTTGTTAGTTTTAAATGGTCTATTTGAATTAAGTATCAAGTTTGTCTTGCAGAAAAATGACCGGTTCTTTTATTCGATTAAGATTAAGGGACCCGCTCCTAACTACGCCCATATCATATTTTAAGTACATTCTTTTGATTCCGGAAGACTACTTCCATCCACTCTGGTGATTTTTTTCTTATTCGGTCACATGACACTCAAGGGACTATCTTTCGTTTTTTTTAATATCTACTTTTATTTTATTTCATTTTCTGACTCGTTTTTTTTTCGTATTTCAGCTTGCAAGGCATCCCCTCAGCGCGTACGTGAACGGAGCTAGTTCCGTCATTGTTGATTTCTTCTTCGTAATTGGTGGCTTCCTAGCTTACCTCTTCATTTACAGAACATTATTACAGAAGAAGAGGGTAAATCTGGTGATGGTCTTCTTTTACCGATGGCTGAGGTAAATTTTATGCCATAATATGTACTACTGTGCTCAAATTGTGAACCGTCTGGCTTAAATATAAGCGAGGGCTATGATGTTAAGAAGAAAAGCATACCTCTGATCATGATGGACATATATGTACAAACCATTCACCATGCACACTAGAACTTATACACCAACGAGGAGTCATAAGTTGCTTGCCAGGCTTTTGTAACTGAAATTTCATGGAAACCAGCCTTCATGCTCATGAAATCCGGGGGGGGGGGGGGTGCTTAACGGAAATACATACAAAAGCTGAATTTGAACGGGCAAAAAACTCAACTTGTTTCCATTGCATGATCAGGGATGGGTATGATCATTGTTGCATTCAATGATTGCAGTTCTTCAGATTTTGTATGCATGGTGTTGAAAGTTTTGGTTCACGATGCCAGAATTGTGCGCGACCAATGGCCGGTCGTTCGAGGCACTAATGCCTCTTTACCATCTCTTACTCTTTGAAAATATCCGTTTCGCTGATTAGAGAGGAACAGTCGCGGCGCTTATGTGAATGTATGATACGAAGGGTTGTCCTTAAATGACACCACGGTCCTATGGGGAGGAGATTAAGGAGCACCCGACATAGACCTGATGACGAGAGGAGGGGAATCAAGCCGAACCTGATGTCACGCTCAAATGGGTGCGAAGTGCCGATATTTAAGAAAAATTCCGATCGAACGCGGAATGCAGAACGCCGAAGCGAATTTTTTTTTTTTTTTTTGGGGGGGGGGGAGTGCACGAAATAAAAAAGAGAGCCTAGCGTAATTCATGAACGGCCTCTACTGGCACAAGTAGCGCAGCGTATTGAGCATAGCAGCTGTGAGGTCCTGAGTAGTCTGAGCGCCTTCATTTTTTAACACGCAACATGGCTATCCATAGAGCACGAATAGTTGTATCCAAAGATTAGATGCAAGTCGCTTACAGCGCGCATCACTTCACGGCCTTTGACAACCAGGATATTGAACTGGAATCTACCTAAAGCTATGAATTGTACGGTCAGAAACATATTTATATTTATATACACATTTACATTAGCAACCGAGACAGCTTAAGATTCAAAGAATAGTTTTAGATATTTTTTTTCAATCTCTTGAACAGTTCAATTCGCTAGAAAGATCTAAAAAATCACTGATCACAAGATAATGTATCTTTTATTTCTTTTGTAGGATAGTGCCATTGTACGCACTTGTGATCGCATTTTACACCTTCGTCATGCCTAGTTTAGGTGAGGGTCCCGTATGGAATAGGTTTGTGGAGAGAGACGTGGCTTATTGTAGGAAAAACTGGTGGCTGAATCTCCTATTTATCAACAATTATGTCCATTCCGACCAACTGGTAAGATCATTATTTGACCATTTAAACATTTAAGCTACGAGAGTTAATTGCATTTTATGTTTTTCGGGTTAAAAACTCGCTCGATTTAACTACGTACAGATCACAAGTAATCAAAATTTATAGACGTACAGAGAGTAATTTTTTTTAATGGAAATCTACCCCTTTTTCAGAGATAAAATATTTTTAAAATTCGAAATGCGTTTCGACATCTCTGGTGCTGACATCGGTAGCGATTCCATGATGACTCCTGAGGCTGAGGAATCGAAAGGCGCTCCAAGTTTCAGAAAAGTTGTATTTGAAGAAGTTAAGGTCTTTTCAAATTATTCAATTATTTCAGAGTTCTTTCACATGTAGATATACCATTTTAAGTTATGACGAGAGGAAATGAACATGAAAAAATCGAAGGCGCACGACAAACAAAGAAATAGACAAATATGTAAGATATAAAGAAATGTAATGCAATTGCGGGCTTTTTAATCGGGTTATACACTGCCTTGCTTTCATTTTCAGTGTATGATCCATTCCTGGTATCTGTCCGTGGATATGCAGCTGTTCATTTTGACGTCTTTTATAGCAGTCTTTATTTTCCATCACCAAAAGGCAGCTAAGCTTGTATTAGGGACTGTAGTCACTCTGTCTATTGTCCTTCCGGCCATGAACTTGTACTTTGGAAAATTTCACGCTGTAACTTTCGCTTTTCAACAGTAAGTTACCCAAAACCATTTTAAATTACTATTTTTCAACCCATAAACTTGCCTAATTCTTCAAATAACGAGGCAGCACAATTTTTTTTAACTTTTCAAAGAATATTCTGCACATCATGATGAAATATTGCAATGATATTGGAGAGATAACATGCAGATTTACAGTCAGGGACGAGAATGTCAAAGATAGCCTCTTAAAAAGTAAGGTACAAGATCATTGAAATAGGATCTTTAAAGATCTTAAATGTAGGTAAAATGTGTTACTCTCCTTAAGTTTTTGAAAGATATAGAACATTTTCTCGGTTTAGCGCGAGTTGGAAACTTCTATGCTTTCAAGCCGTCTTTTATTGTGCATCGTAGGGAACTTGACTGTAGGATTCAGGACTATACGCTCAACTAAATTTTTGATTATTGATTTATTTCATTTTTACAGATTTTTACAGAATATCAATGCAGACCCAAATTTCTATGATATGTACATCAGAACACATACAAGAGCAATTCCATACATTTTGGGACTAACATCTGCTCACATCTACTTAAAACTCAAAGATAAAAAATTCAAGTTCACAAAGGTAAAATATTTATTCATTGCTCATATTCGAGATTTCGAATATTCTGCGTGTTAAACGAGGGAAAAAGTTGAATGAGCTAAACTATACATTGTGCGCTTTAGTCATTTGATACATCGCGATATTGTCTCACCATTCCAGTTTGCACCACTAATAGGCACAACCGGTGACTTTTCTCATTAAGTTCTCTCTCCACTGGGTGACATATTTTCTATTCTCCATTACATGATTTGGTGAAGCACAGATAATTCTATATTTTATTCGGAAGGTTCCAGTTTGAGGACTTTACTCTTTCCATTAAAAAATTGCGCAATTTTTTCCCAAACAGCTCACGCTAATGGTTAAACAGTTTAAGTCGATTGGGGCTGTCCCTAAATCACGTACCCCAAATCCTAACTAAATAGAAACTCTAACTCATTCAGTAAACGTAAGGTGATATTTAAATTAGTGTTTATCGAAATGTGGCGGGGGGTATCGGGGCAAACGTCACGCAATTTTTCAAGGGGGGTCTATCAAGCGTTATGAAGCGTTACGGGAGGCTGGGAAGTGTCAAAAAACCGCCAATTTAGCGTTATGGTTATTTATACGGACCGGCCCATTAAGGGCTCGGACTGCACACTGGGGAGCCGGGAGCAGTCCCCTGATCGGAAGTATTTCTGCCAAACGGAACTATGTGCATGATGACGTGAGCCCTGTTATGCATATATTCTTATGGGTCTCAGGGCTTATGTCTTAATGCACATAGTTTCATTCGGCAGAAATACGTCCAATGTACGTTTAAAGATTGTGGCACTGCAGTATATCAGTGTTAGCACTTTATATTCGAAGCTGAAAAGTCATAAAACTTTTTCAAAATAACAAAATTTCAAGTGCTTTGTACAAATAAATTCCTACTTGAACTGATACATAAAATTACATCGTTGTGTTGCAGCGTCAGTTGTGGATGTGCGTTGGGCTATGTTTTGTGTTCGGCAATGCATCTGTGTTCTACAGTGCCTTGCTCTACTTGCCAGGTTGGCCCTACAATATTGTTGAGCACATGATCTACAATCCTCTGCATAGGATATTATTCGCTTTTATCCCTTGTTTCATCCTCATCGCCCAAGGAACCACCGGGTTTGGTAAGTAACTTTCCAATTGTTCAAATACGATAGTTTCAGGTAGCTCTCACAATCAATTGAGAAGTCAACGAAATTCCCCAGAGGGAAAACAGGATCAATGGAAAATCGCAGTTTTTCTGTGTGTCTCCAAATTGTAACGAACTCTCCGTGTTGTGAAGCTTCTGATTTCCAACAGCTTACTTTTTTGAAGAATTATTTAAAAGAAACCAAGCAGAAGGGACATATCTGTATCGATCATTTTTTAAAACAATACCACTGGCCTTTAGCGAATAAATTCGGTTAAATTAAGTCGTATTGTATGGAATAGTTCTTTATGACAGGCCCTATGGCAAAATGAAAACTGCGCTTTAAAGATATGACCAGTGTGGCCTTTGCCTTCGGTAGATAGAACGTTTTCATCGCCGCAATTTTGTAGATTAGTCTATCTTTTTAACCATTCGACAATCTGGAATAGCATTTAGCGAACGAGACCTATCCGCAAGATGATCAAAAACACATAGATAGTTTTGGATTTCTAGGTTTCCTTTTTCTCTCGTGTACTCCGCCGCACATCTCTGCCTCCTACCACTCCCTATATTTTGATTATACACATGCCAAAGAACATATATGTACATGTATTTATATTCTGGTTTCAGGAATAGTGAGCAGGTTCATGAGCTCTCCTTTCTTTGGTGTGATGGGAAGACTGACCTATTGTGGGTATCTAATCCACCCAATAGTTCAACTAACGATGATATACTCTAATCGGACGGCATTTTCACTAGCTCCTCTTAGAATTGTGAGTTTTTCATTATAAAAGTAATTAGAACTATGACTAATTTATATTTTCTCCTTGCATTTGATAGAATCTTCAAATATTTAGTTTTATGCAGGATTTTCATGAGCAACTTTGACAGATTTTAATGATAATTCTGAGCCAGATTTACGTGCATGGAATTTTCGTCCTAACTTGACAAAATATTGACCAACTACGGGATAATGCAAGTCTGCATGGTCAAAGAGTGTCATATTATTCTCATATTGCCACAGTTTATTGCTTCGAAGTAATGAAAAAAACTTTTCATTTACTTAATGCTGATTTTTCGTTTGAAAACTTCTCCTCTTTAGCCAATATTTTTACTTATTTCAAAACGTTTTCTATGTTGAACTGTTCAAGAGAGGTAAGTATCTTGTAACTCGTCGTGTATTCACATCCTCTGTTTAAGCGAGAAATTACTCTCTCTTCATTTATTTCATCTCTATGCAATTATCCAAATAGTATTACGTACGTTATTGGCAATTGGCAGAAGGGCGAACTATTCTTATATTTACAAAAAACACATTATATTTTCCAGTAGTACATATTTCTTTTTCATCAGTTTAAAAGGGAATAATCAATGCAGAGAATGCAAACATTTCAAAATCACGAGTTGAAAAACGCTGACTCCGCGAGTTTAAATATTAGAGCCCAACACAGAGCGGAGCGGCGTGTTAGCAGCGCAGAACGCGCACTGGCGCCTACAAACCTAACGGGATACTTCACGCGTTGCGCAATGCGTGAAGTATCCCGTTAGGTTTGTAGGCGCCTATGCGCGTGTCACGCTGGTTGCCTGCCGCGCCGCAACGCTTTAAGCAACTATTTCGCGTCAGAGGCGTTGCACAATGCACAGTATCCTACAAGATCGAAGGCGCACGAAATAACTAGTTAGAGAGGACTTTCAATTTTGACAGCATCTGTTACTGATAAATGTTTAATTTGGCATTGGAGCGTTTCCTAGGCTCCCGCCTTGGTTTTCATCTTATCATATCCGTACAGTGCACACATGAACATATCGACGGTGAAACTACCAAACCACGTATCTCGGTTTGCGACGTCGCAGACTTCCTGTCATACTTTATTTTTTAAATGAAAAACTACTCAACATCCAGTCTTGAAAATTTCTGTGATTTTTCCTCTTCGTGCGGAGAAAATTCCGTGAAAATTTCAAAGAATGATATTGATTTGGTCTACTTCAAAAAAATAAAATGTGAGCGTAGATTTTTAAACACCGCAAACGAGATACGTGGTTTAGTAATTTCACCGTCGATATATTTTATCTGCTCTTAGAGTCTGTCCTCTTTCATGCTTCGATTCACGAATGAAATGTTTTAAGAATGAAGGTAGTATAGTAGTATGCATTTATTTTTGAGGTGGCTCCTGTCATTTAAATGAGAAGAAAAAAATGTGGACATAACATGTCCACAATTTGGACAATTTTGGACATATTCATGGTTTGACATTAAATCATATGGATTTAATATAGACTGGACTTAATGTTTAGTGGACATAAATAGCGGTGGATATTTATTTAATGGACGAAAGGTAGGTGGACATAAAGTCCTGGAAGCGCGAAGGCTTGTGATTTGTCTGGGAAAAACCAAAAGTTCTACATGTAAAAATGCAGACTTATCGTAGTAGTTATTATGCAGATTCCGGCTTCTGTTCACAACATATGCCTTCATATACACACACGAAATACACAATAAAAAATGCAGCTAAACCACCGGCATTATCTGTAGTAAAAATGACCCACCATTTAGTCATTTTAGGGATGAAATGTTTTAATTTTATCCTTTTACTATTCAATTTTTCAGGCATGGGCATCTTGTGGAGATACCCTAGCCACATTCATCTTAGCACTTGCCTTGAATCTTCTCTTTGAATCACCTATCGATCGGTTACAGAAGAAAATCTTCCAATCTTTCATTCGTGGTAAGTTGAAAAATATTCAAAATTTGATTTTCCAAGAGGAAAATAGCATATAAATGAAGCTTATTGTTAAACAACTAATTCCTGCTGGCAGAATTGAACATTTAATCAAAAATTTGCTTAGAGGCTCTTAACTATGCTAAGATGAAACAAACAAAATCATTGCAGCTGAATGGGATTTTGAAAGTTCAATACATCGAGTTTTACTGACGTGAGAATATACATTAAGTTTATGTTGATACTTCTAAATCAATTTATTGGCGCCGTATGACAGTTGTAAGTGCATATAAAAATCGCACTCTATTCAATGCCCGTAAATACTTTCAATCCTCTGAATAATAAGACAAATTTATAATATCAAATTTTTAAGCAGTTTATTTCACAGTGCTATACGTTGTTTTTTCAGAGTACAAAGAACCGAGAACACAGTTAGAGCCACAGACTGAGGAAGCCGAGATGTCTGATAAACCGGAGGTCACTGAGACTGAACATTGCTGATCAACATGCTAATCCCATAACGGCGCATGTTTAGTCAACTTTATTTTTTCGCTTAAAAATCAATCGCGTTTTTAGTTTTGATGCTACTGTTGAAGTCATTTGAATTTTTCTTTAGGTCAGAAAATACACTCACGTAGCAAAAGATAAAGAATGCATTTCACATTATCCTTAAAATTTTAATTTAGTTCCATTGACTTTTGCTTGATTGAAGTTTTCTTTAATCAAAGAATACTTCTAATCAATTAAAAATCTCCACCAGACTGACACAAGCATATAAAACAAATACCAATTTACCCATGGTTGCAAAAAAAAACTGATGTTAAAATCTCTGAAAACAAGAACCATCACTATATTTTTGCTAAGCATTGTAATTATTGTACATTGTAAAGTAATTTATTTGTTAGTCAATATAAATCAAATTTTTCACCTTAGTTTCGCTTGTTAATGCACACTAATTCTCCTCTTTAAAGAAAGAAAAAAAAAAAAAAAAAAAAAAAAAAAAAAAAAAAAAAAGTGTGAAGTTGAGTATAGTTTGAAGAGCTTATAAAACTGTTTGTAATGCGTAGTTTGATGACACCCAATATTAAATACGCCGCCTATATTTACAATCTATTTTACTCCTCATTTTATTGAGAATGTGTTATTTTCATCAGTAACCATATTACACTGTGTCGTTCCGGAACGGAATGGAGTTCAAATGAAGGAAAAGGAAGAAATAATTCACAAAAGTAATAGACCTGAATCTCTAAACTACACCAAAGAGTTTATTTGTCAAATTCATAGATAGAGAGATTAATCGCACGTATAGACTCAGTGTCAGAATGACACCTATTAAGTAGCCGAGAGAATAGGTATGCAAATCAACAAATTATAAAAGGAGTACAAGCCGTGCCGTTGCGGGGAGGTGTTTTATCAACAAACGGCATTTACAATATGCGGAAACTTTTCCAGATCATTATTATTTGTTCAGTTTCTCGCCTCATCCTTACAAGACATTTTTCTCGGCTGTCGCACTTGGTATTAAATGCACAATGGGACGAACAATTTAAATTCCATTACAAAGGCTGTCTCCCGCACACTCCGAGTGGAAACCATCAAAGGAAACTTGACTCGATCGCAGTACTTCAATATTTGGCATACGGATTCTATTTTCTATACCTTGATGGGGTTCAGATTTTGGAGATATGAACCGGCTTTTTGTAAATTACGTAATAAAGTCGTAAATGAGAAGTTAGTGCCCATTTAAGCAATGTGAATGTTCTTCTTTTTGTCATACTTCGTTTTAATGATCTTTCGGCCGATTGTCATAATTTTTATGGTGCTGTCAGCGGATAGTCCGTAGATGAGCCCTCTCTATTTAAATCAACTCTTAGGGATCCACGAAGTGGATCTTGNGGGGGGGGGGGGGAGCGCAAAGCGCCCCTACCAGGGGTTGGGCCGCGTGGCGGCCAGGGCGTGCCTCCTAATAAAAATACAAAACACGACAGAGGCTGATCTTGTTGTATGTCATCCATTTGTCATTTTTTACTGAATCGAATATTAATACCGTCAAATCTGGAATGTCAATCAGCCGAATGGTGATCAGAAAGAGCAAAGAGGCACCAGAACTGCGCAGGAAAACAATAATTCTAACGATAGGATTTTTCCCCATTGAAAACCGGATTTCCAATCCATAGTCTAACGGCAGTCAAGCACCCTCTTGTCTATACCTGACACTCTGCACCGATCGAACGGCTAAAAATAAGAGGTCTGATCAAGCTCCCGTGGTTCAAGGCCGGAGCCTGTGGGAAATTTGGAGGCGCGGGAGACTGATCCCCTCTTCCTGAATATTTTCTTTCGGCCCCTCCCAGACGTTGGTTTTCTTTTCTCTCCTTTTCAACCAGTTATTGGATTTCCCTCAAAATCATTTGATCGAGTTAGATTTTGTTCGGTTACCATCTCGGTCGGGAGCGTGTGTTTTTATCTCGAAAAATTTGCGAATTACATATACATTTCACTGTGTCGTAATTTTATCTCGATCCTGTTGGCTGTCCGATTAACCAAATTTAACATCGTGCGTTAGTTTCCTTTTTGAAAGTGTTATCAAGGATTTCTCCAATTAGTAAAAGAAACAAATCTTGAGCTTTCAGCCGATTTTCTTAATAATAATAAGTAGACTCAGACCATGCTTAAAAAGCAGTGTGCGAGAGAATGTTTATTTAAAAATTACCATAACATAGAGATCTCCTCTAATTAGTATGTACATATGCCCAGCCGCGTATTATTCGAAAGTTAGTTTGAAATAGTGTATGGTGAAAATTTTATTTTTATGTATCGATTTATGTGAAGATGAAAAACAGTGGTTTTTATTATTATATGATTGCCTCTGCTATTGGTCCTTGGACTGAAGTGTGAAGGAAGTTCTCAAAATTAGGTTAAATTCAAAGTAGCTTTCTTCCTTGCCTATTTAGATTGAATAAATCTCGGTTGAATAATCCTGCGCTTTTACCGAGGAATAATGAATGATCCGACGAGAACATGCGCGAACGCCATTTCATATTCATGAGACTTAAAGCGTCGTATCTGTGAATTTACTCTAATGTATAAGCGTGAACATTTCTTTTATTCCTTTTTTTTTTTGTTTTTTCTTTCGTTTCGATTCTTTTCAAACAGATGATGCTGGAAACTTTAAGGAACTGAGAGCTTTTTTTTCATTTAGGATAAATCTACGGAAAGTAATAACATATAATATAAAAAATTAATAAAATTCTTAAAAATTGGACAGTAAAAATTATAACCCTTCGATTAATTAGAAAGCAATAATAATTTTTAAAAATACCGCGACCGAATATTTTCTTCACTTAATTAAAACTTTGTTGCTTATTCGAAGAAACGATTTTTTAAATGAGGTTTGCAAAAAACTACGTGAAAAAACTTGTTTTTTAAAGTACGTATCCTCCAGAATATTGGAGAGATGAACCCTCGCTAAAGTGTTTAAATCTAGACATTCCATCGTGCATTTTTAACAAAATGTGTTTAAAATTAGTCTTACTCTTAAAAAAAAAAATGAAATTAGAGGAGATTCGCGTGCTGTAAGCTACAATAGTCAAATCAAGCAATTGATACAATTTCCAGGCAATTAGTTAAATGTTAAACTGTTAAAGATCTGCCTAGTTTTAAACGATTTTCATGGAGATTTTCAAATTTTCTAATACTTACGAGAGAAAATTTGAACAAAATATGAATATTTTTTAATTTAAAGTATTCCTAATTTTCCACCTAATTTTTACAGCTTCAATTTTAACCAACATGCGTTTCATAAGGTGTGAAGAAATCTTGTGATAAAAGTTTGTTCAGCTAAAAATATTCCTAAAACAGTTCTATACTATTTTGCAAAAGACTTTTTTCTACATTTTCGAAAATTCGTCGTCAAAGATTCTAGGAAAAATTTCAGAATTCACACTCATATTGATTAAAAATGATTATCTGACTTAAAAAATTTACGCCTAATTTATTTGAATGTAAGTAAAAAAAGTGACAATCTTGATTTTTTACTTTTAAAACCATTCTAATTAAAACAGGACCAAAAACTTTCAGAGCAAAATTCCTGCACAAAAAGGGCCATGTGGCCATTAGCACATCCGTTGCGATGTGCATCGCTCGTTATTTTTGTGCTCGTATCCGTTGAAAGTGCCGTGCTCCAGCCAGGAATTTCCAACACATCCGTGCATGGCATATTGCATTCTACGTATTCGGAGGCGTCGATAAGCAACTTCACAGAGACTCAAACGCACACGGACGAGACTGACTCAGTAACTACAAATGCGCCTGCCGGGTTGCATTCAACGGAGGAACAGGAGTTCTCACCGAGTACCGAGCCTGATTTTACACTGGGACCTATCACCGTTGATATTTCAATGCTGAATCTCGAGGACCTCTTCACAGACGAGGGAAAGACAGAGGAGACACCAGTGCGGGAATCTTGGATTCAGCGGATTGCCCACCATGACGTTAAATCTCCGCGGAGACCTGGAGGTCGATCTCTTAGCCATGATCAAGCGGAATCAGACCTGTTGGGGGATTTTGAGAACCTCAGCTGGGCTTCTCAAGTGATCACAAAGGCCATGTGGAGATATTACCCCTGGTCGCGAAGTAACAGCGCGTGCACACATCAGGGTGAAATTTACCGGCAACATTTCAGCAACTTGACTCAGTGGGCTGTCAAAAGTAAGTGGATCCGTGTTATCCTTTCACAAATAATACTAATAATTACGAATTACCACGAAATATAATACTAATCTTACTTCATAATGTGAAACCGCAAGAATAACGCGCATAACGTCTGATGCGTAACGCATGATGCGCGAGGCGCTTTGGAGGGGGGGGGGGTTGGATACTTAGCTGTTAGGGATTTCAGCCCCCATGTGTAAAATAAAATCATGAAGTTCACCAAATTTTCATTCTCATTTTTTTAAAATTTGAGTCGAAAAATTAAGTTAAAGGTTAATTCGCATTTACGTACGTTGTTTTAATACTTAACGGACCTCTATCAAAGTTTTAATTAATTGGTAAAAAGTATGGTTTTGTTGGATTGTGATTTTTATGGGAGAAAATTCTGTATGAAAATCCCCAAAATTAAAAGTATGTAAAATCAACAAAACCTTACAGCGCCGGATTTACCTACTTGTCGCCTATGGGCCGCCTGTATTTTGCCGCCCCCTTCTCATTCGTTTTGAGACATCGATACAAACCATCAAGTGAACGTGCCGGAGGAGGAGGGGTGCATAAGACGCGTTTACTCGTGTTGGGCACATTTTTTGTGAAAGCCCTGTCAACACTAGCAAAAATTCACGGAACTTTGCTCGAAAGTTAAGTTCCGTAAACCTATCTCTGTGTGGACAAGGCCTTTCATTTATAAGAAATGAATGAAAAAATTATGGAAGAATAAACTTATTAATGGTTTAATAAGTTTAATTTCTGCCACCGCGCCGACCGCACTGTGTTTGGCGCATTGCGTGAAGTGTCAGTCTTGTAGGCGCTATGCGAATGCGATTCACGCCGACCGGTGCTGATCGCACTGTTTTTGACGCAATGCTTGAAGTATTCATGCAGTCTTGTAGGCGCTATGCGTTTCACGCCAACTGCTGCTGACCGCACTACGATTGACGCAATGCGTGAAGTATTCATGGAGTCTTGTAGGCGCTCACATGTTTCATGCTGACCGGCGGGCCGAGGGCTTCTCCTTTTCATCTCAAGTCCTCGTCATCATTGCTCTTTACGCCGCGCCGCTCCAGGTCAAATTGCGTGTTTAGTTTCTCTCTCAACTAGACTAGTGAAAGGCGCTGTCTCTTGTATCACCGAAAGACGAACAAATTAAAAATTACTATACTTTAACTCTCAGGAAATGAGAAATTTTGTCGCCTTTTCTCATTTGTAACTTTTTTTCTGAATCCGATTTTTTTTTTGATACCTACATTTGAAAAAATTGCAACATTTGCCGCCATGGGTTGCGGCCCATGTGGCCACCCCCTAAATCCGGTCCTGAAACCATATGAATATTTGCCAAAATATTATATCGTTTCCTTCCAGGAAATATATACCACAAGCGCCTTTCAATTTTAGAAAAGTCACGAACAAATTATTTGCAATGGCTCAACATGTTATTTTGGCTCAAGTCTTTGCACATACGTAAGGTATACGCTTCACAATTAAATCCAATTTTAAGAAAAAAATAAATTTCGTTAGGAAAATTTAAGTTTTTGATACTGTGTTTTGAGGGGACTCTTCGAGCACAATTGCACGTGCAGTTAAGGGTGTAATATGGAGGTATTTTGCCTGCGTTTTGGCGCTTGCAATGTGTACTTGCGTTTGTTGCGACTTTCCTCTTTTTAACCTGGGCACATTTTCCACGAAGACCTGTCACTGGTACATAACCTCTCTTGAGAAGTACTAGCGCCCCTTTTTGTTGTCGCAACATGCGCTCTCTAAATACAGTGTCACGACAAACTAGCCCGTACCCTTTCATTCGCTCACTGCCCAAGTGCCCATTGTGACATTCTATCTATTTTACCTCAAATACAGTCCACGCCAAATAAGTTTAAGAATTATTAGACTGCGGCAGAGAATCCGTCATATCGATTCCTGCACTTAATTTTAATGCTAAACTGACGTCACACGATTTTCTGCCGCATTCTAAATGTGTGTAAACTTATTTGGCGTGGGTTCTGGGAGGAAAAATTACTTTATTTACCAATAATCGGTAAAATATCACATTGCGGCTTCACATTGACTAAACTACTTTCTTCTAGTATTATTGAAGGGGAATAAATTACCATGCACAATAAGTCTCTGTCTCTATTTCTAAGTGCATTCTCTTTTTTCCTTTATAATATTCACTTACATAAAGAATTGCTAGTTTACTCAGGTAATGAATATAATGCAGATTTGTATCAATAGACGACTCAAACAAGAATAAAATGAGGGGACGTTTTACGTCAGTAGTGGTATTAAACTAGGGAGCGGCATAAATTTAAATTGTGGAATGTAAGTGCTTCAGTGTTTGTTACCTATTGATGTGGTTGCGGACATGAATATCATGACGTTCTTCGATAGTTGAATGCTGACATGACTTTTTTCTCACAGCTTTATGTTGCTACTATTTAAATGTTAAAAAAAAAAAAAAAAAAAAAAAAAAAAAAAAAAAAAAAAATGGACGGCTCCTACTTAGTTCTCACTTACTTCCGATGTCTCATGAATATATAAAACAACAAAATATGTATGAAGGATCCTAACATCTACACTAATCACATTCAAAAAGAAAAAATGAGCCTGAAAAACCACAAAACGTTTTAAAATCTGATGAATTTGAAAAATAAGAAAAATACGAGAGAAAGAAGTGCCGAAGAAGTCAAACCAGAGATTAGATCGGATTAGCCAATCTCTGTCCAAAGGCATACTCTCAATTATTGACTTCAACTTGAATTTTTTTGCTTAATTTTTTCACCACTTTTGTCTCTTTATTGAATAATGTCGATTTCAGAACTTCCTGTTCCGAGTCGATCGTTAAGTTTATTGTCGCGAAATATACTCTAGTTGTTATGCAAACTAAGGTCTCAGATTATTGACATTAGTGGCAAGATTGTAAACACATTTGAGAGTAATTTTTCCACTCTTTAAAATTCATAACATTCTTTTCTGTTAAACCTTCTATCCGCATTTCTTCCAATGGGCTCAGACATTCTTTAATTTACACTGATGATGCAAGAGCACACTTTACATTCCTTAGTACGATCCACCTCCGACCAAGATTTCCAGACATCATTTATTCCTTTTCCACGACATAATGTATGCTGAAACCTTTTTAGGTAGATTTCGAAGAAATATCTACCTATTGCAGACGGTACGACCTCGTAATTTTCCGGAATTTTCGCTTAAAGAGCATCGATCCTGAAGCCCTGAGTTGAAAAATGTGGGTCATAAAAAAAGTACTATATAACTGGGATCTAACGAACCTTTGCGACCGTTTTTTTCCGGAACTATCCGTACGATCAAAACGAAACTAAGCATGGTTCTTCACTGCTATGAGGTCTAGATCAAGTTTCCTTTTTCGTGAAAATCGGTCCACCCCTTATCCGGAAAATCTCAAGTCCAAAGGGGGATGATTTTTCAAACTCGTCCGATCTTAGTCGGCGATACGTCAAAAAACTCGTCTCGTCGTGGCCTTCAAAACAACCTATATTCATCTACCCTCTAAAACCACCCCTTATCCTGAAAATCTCAAGTCCAAAGGGGGATGATTTTTCAAACTCGTCCGATCTTGGTCGGTGATACATCAAAAAACTCGTCTCGTCGTGGCCTTCAAAACGACCTATATTCACCTACCCTCTAAAACCACTCCATATCCGGAAAATCTCAAGTTCAAGGGGGACGATTTTCCGACCTGTCAGGCTCATTAGGCGCAATTCTTTTCATAGAAACGATTAGTCGAAATCTACCTTTCGTTTCCACTGTGGCTGGAAAGCGTTTTTTTTTTCTATTAAACACCATGTTTCCCTCTGCGGGGAAATTCGGTTTTGAGCATAATTCAGACTTGATCTCTACATAATCCTAGAAATTTTTTTAACTGCAATGCACCCTGTACGTGGGACTAGTAGCGTAATAAGCATGCATTGATTTCTCATTAAGAACAAATACACATTTGACAAAAGTACTTCCCGCTATCTCATTTTGTGGTGAGATATCTCTTTCACGTCAGAAAAAACTCAATTTTGATATCATACTAAAAGTACACCAAGTATACTGAAAATATATGACTAATTTTATGAGTATTTCTACTCCTACTAATTATCTAGTAATTATCTAGTTGACTTAAAGTCATTGCTTTCAGTAGGGGTCAATGGAGAAACCCCTTAATGATAGAAATATTTAACAAAAATTCACCGAAGTTTGATTAGGTAAAAGTTGCAAAACGTTGATTTTAAATGAATGGGAAAAAAAAAAAAAAAAAAAAAAAAAAAAAAAAAAAAAAAAAAAAAAACACTAAGAACTGGTCCGAACTGTAAGTATCAAGGTGGAGAAAATTTGACTCTAATTTTAATTTTTGGGATTTCTTGGCTTTGTTTCTCCGCGAAATGGTGTAGACCCAGCGCCATTTCTCCACCTCGTTGATTTTAATTAGCAATTTTCTTTCTTACGATTCGCGAGATATCAGATTTACAGTCAAAAAAGCAACCTGTTAATTTGACAATTTATTTACAGCAACGGGACGGAAATTTATTTAATCGTACAGTGTCATTCAACAGTCTTGTTTTTTGTCCCTTATTTTAGTGTTTGATGCGTCGGACATAGCGCCGGACGGAATTCTGGAGACTGATAATTTGAATTCAGGACATTTCGACGAGTGTTTGGCCATCGACGTGGAGTCCCTGGACATGAAAGGGCAATACTGCTTGGTTAAAGTTGAATACAGCCCTTACGAAGAAATAAGTCTGGATTTCTGGACACCTGACCGAGAGACAAACTACGATCAACCTGATCCCATGAAGACCGTTTGGCTGGATGCGAAGGTAAAGGGACGCAAGAATTTAATATCAATTTAGTCGCGTTAATTAAGCTCCTGCACAGATCTATGGACACCTCTCGGAAAAAAACAACTATGGTTAAAACGCTTATGTATAATCAAATATGTTCGTTTGTTTGCCGTAAAATACGCGACTTTAAAAGCTACAGGCAACCCATTCGGTGTATCACTAAGTCTAATTAAGTATAGTTTTTATTTTATTTATTTATTTATTTTTTTGTGCCGCACTAGGTGGTTTTAACATTTTGAAGAAAACACCCAGATCCGTAGAAATATTTTGCCTAACAACAAGACTGCACGAGAAAAATTTGGAGGAAATTTAGAAGAACTTTAAGTTTACTGAATAAACTTGATTTTGAAATTTGTCAGAATTTTAGTTCGCAAATAATATTTTGGGAACTTTTCCTCCGGTCTTTTAAATAAAGAAAAATAAAATTCGTACGTATAATGCAATCCTATATTTAGAGTAAGAAATGTATTCTCGTTGTTTGCGTTGTTACGGAGGGCAAATATTTTTTAGCCGAGACCAAAATTGAAGAGCCCTGTATTCAATTTTGCATTTGTTCTGGTTTTAAATTCACAGCCGCACACGGATCCAGCGCGGAACAACAGAAGCGAGTTCGAATTTGCTGTTTGTCTTCCTAAGTCATGTTCGGCCGAGGATCTACAGGTGTCGCTCCAAGAGACAATCAACCAAGTGGCCGCTTTCCATAAGCTCAACTTTCAGCTTACTGTTCGATCTCAAGATTGCTCCGTAAAGGATCCCGAAAACCCTGACCAACTCGGTTTTGCCGTTACTGTGTAAGCCATTTTACTTCCTTATTTTTTTCACGTATTTCTCTAGAGGAGTTGCTAATATGTGCTGTTTTCCTCTTTCTATTGCAAAATGTGTTTGCAAAAAATATAATATTTCCTGAATTTGGATCATTATTCCATGATCGAATTCACCCCTCCTCCACGTTCTCAACATCCCCCTGAACCCCCTTGATGCTTAAATATTTTCTAATGTCAGAACAAAAGCACGCGTGTTCAAGATTCTCATTTCATTGAGTCGTTTTCAAAAACGCCTTCATTTAGGAGTGATGCATAATGCTTTACTGGAGTTGACAATGGAGAGTCAAGGAGCGCATTGCAACAGGGCGCACAGGAAAGGAAATTCCTCGTGTGAAAATTCTGGTAGGTATCTAGGATTATTCCAGCAAAATGTTATCCGATTATTTTGTTTACCTTATTTCAGGTCAATTTGTATGGGCGCCGTTACGCTTGTGATCATCAGCACTTTGTTGGATATTTTAATCTTCCAGAAAAGCAAGTCCAAGAGTATTTTCCGTAAGTGAGCTTACAATATTGCTTTGCGTACCAGCACTGAGGAAAATATTTGTGTACTTGTGTTACTTTTGGTGAACATAGAAAGTAAAACACAAACCGACCCAAATTTGTTGTTGATTTTCATACAGTTAGCGGTGAAGTTAGCACAGAAAACACTGAAGAGACTGGGAGAGCTCACAGTCAGTCAAAGGCTCGGGTCATTTTGTGTTTTACTCCTCGTATTGACCAAACTTTTGTGTTGAGTTTTCTCTCTGTGCGGGAAGAGCGTATGAGAGAAAATTGATAGTAAAAACTATGATAGGATGAAATGAGAATGTAATGAAACGAAGGGGCGTTTCTTTAAGTTCTGATTCTTATACCGTTGTCTCTCAGTATCGGTAGAAAGGTACTTTGTTTCCACCGTACTCATTTCTTAACCCTTAAACAAATATTATTCCAGAGCTATTAATCATCGTTACGAGAAAAAGGGAGTGAAAGTGTGCTTCACTCCTTTCGAAAAAGAAACATTTTATATTCTAGCCCATTATTTTAATACCGAACATGAATATGTATCACGAATGGCGAGCACCTAGTAAGCAAAGGTGGCATCATTGAGCTTTAATCATTACTATGTACCTACTAACGTATAATTTAAAAGTAATAGTTTGCTGATCGTGATTTTTTTAATTTTGCAGGGACTTTTCTAAAGTCGTTCTCGGTGGTGAAAAATTTGAACAGGCTCCAAAAGCCCTGCGAGGACGAGGAATTTGCCCCTGTCAACTACCTTAAATTTCAAATACTGGTCTTCATTATTTTCGGACACCGTATTATGTTTCTCTTTGGAAATAGACTTTACAACCCATCTTGGATTGAAAGGGTACATAGGAAATATGAAATTCCCATTCATTCAACGTATCATGCGCGAAATATCTCTACCTTTTCTGGGGTTGATGGACAAGAGTTAATATTTACGTGCCTTGAATTTCAGAGATGACTACTCAGAAATGCCACCATTGAGTTGCATGCATTCATCATTTGAGAGCGATTATTTTTTTCATACCAAAATATTTTAATTTCACCACATCTGGTGGCTTTCATTTGGCTAATTGCTGTCCACTATAATTTGATGATCGGTGCCGTCTAAATCATTACAATATAATGATAACTTTCTTCCAAAAATGCGTATCTTAGACTGTGACATATTCCAATACCCCGCTAATGATTTATTGTCTAAACCGTTTTCCTGGAATATGTCTGTGAATTTTCTTCTCTCGCTCAATCATATTTACCTATAGGAAATTTTAGGTGATATTTTGATCTTGAAAAAAAATAAACCATCCTCGGAGGTATCGAAACGTGACATTGAAAACACGCATTTTTCGACCTAGCCATCGATACTGAATTTGTATGAAAAACTCCGCAAAGACTAAGCATTACCGAAAAATGCGATCAAAATACAGGCAATAAGTATTCCGGCTGCTTCTTCTATGCAACTTACACATTGAGATGGTCACATGTAGATGTGCGTGTGCAATGATGGTCACATCCAAGTGAAAAATCTAAATAAATAAAGGGGCGGACAAAAGAAAATAAAGGAAAAAAGACAGATCAGCCATTCCTTCCCCAAGCGAACCACCCCTTCAGTGCGTAGGTAATACATGATGTGGGTCAAAATTATAATCATCTCTTTTTAAAAGTCGCCCGTTCTACTTATCATTCAAAATTAGTCAAAGGAAAAATAAACTTAATACTTTCGATTTCTAACAATTCGATCTTTGATTTATCATATCTTTTACAAGCTTTTCCCCTTTTCTATCAATTCTTTCTAGCTTGCGAGACTTCCTCTGACAGCGTACGTTAATGGAAGTAGTTCGGTCGTTGTTGATACCTTCTTTGTGATTGGCGGTTTTCTAGCCTACCTATTCATCCATAGAACCCTGTCGAAGAAGAAAAGAGTCAATCTGCTTATGATCTACGTTTATCGATGGTTGAGGTAAATGACGAATCTTCCTAATAAAAGTAGATACCTAGGGTACAGTTCATGAGGGCGTATGCGTTGATATATGATATATTTTCAATAATAAAGAAAAAAATAGAAAGCTATAATAAACTTGATGATAATGTCTTTGGCTTGGGTATCCCGTTTGTCACAATATTTTCTTTTAATCAGAAATTTGCGAGGAGGCGTAAAAGTTTCAAAAGTTTTGAAGAAGTTTGGTAATAATAATTCTCTTTAAAAACAAATAGAAATTTTACCCAATATTAAGATTGGATCGTTCCTCGAGAGAATAAAATGAAAAGAAATGTTTACTGTCATAGACCAAGCTCATCCACTTAGCAAGACTGATTGTGAGCTCCGTCATTTGGATACATACGTCAAAGTATAGTGCATATTTGCACCATAATCTTGCCATATCGCTACTTATGACTTAAAAAAATGATGACCTGTCTCCGTCTTACGTAGATCTAAATGCTAACTGAATCTTTTTTCTAATAGAATCGTGCCTTTGTATGCGCTGATAATTGCGTTGTACACTTTTGTCATGCCAAATCTCGGAGATGGTCCTCTATGGAACAGATTTGTGGAGAGGGAAGTCAATTACTGCAGGAAAAACTGGTGGCTCAATCTCCTCTTCATCAACAATTACGTCCATGCCGATCAACTGGTAATAATTTTTAGCTTAAAGTAACCGTGTACTTAAGTGTTGCTACTTTTAATAAAATTAAAAAGAACGAAAGGAGTGCGAATTTGTAATGCTATTGGTAGTAGTAATTTATAACAATCGTTACATTTTTGGAAACGATTGCTGACATCAAGCGCAATTTCAGAATTTATATCGGGTGTTAGCTAACAAGAAACGTATAATGGACCACTAGACAAGGTACAAAGTTAAGCATTCTAGTACATGTTTCATAACAAAAATTTAACGAAAAACACGATTCGTGCAACGAAAATTACTGAAATTGACTCCTAACCAAGATATTTAATTTTTCTTGACGCGTGAATTCAAACCTCCTGCTCATGAAAACACAAGGGTATGCGTGCGTCAGATCGCAAACTAAACATCACCGTGGCAGTCTCTGCGGTACGAAAATATGACAATCTCAATTTTGATGCTTTGGCTCAGCTACAGCAAATTGTTTACACTTCCAACAATAAAGGGTGGGAAACGAACAGTGGCACATGTTTGAACAGTGGAGCATTTCAAAATCATGAGTTAAAAAACGCTGACTATGCGAGTATAAACATTAAAGCCGAGCAGAGCGGAGTGGCGTGCTGCCAGCGCGAGAGGCTCACTGGCGCCTACAAACCTAAGTGGATACTTCACGCATTGCACAATGCTTGAAGTATCCACTTAGGTTTGTAGGCGCGTTTCGCGCTGGCCGCCCGCCCGCCGTGCGGCGGCGCCTGAAGCAACTATTTCACAGCAGAGGTATTGCACAGTATTATACGAAATTGAACGTATTAAGAATGACAGGCATCCTTTAAAAGTACAGATCTTTCCTCGCAAAATAAATCAAGATACTTATCGTACACGGGAAAAATCTAAGAGACTTTAGCTGAGGCAAATATAGAGGTTTATCCGGTTCAGGCATAACAAGGTGGGAATTTCTTGAAAGATAATTAAGTCCTGTTACACCAAAGAGGTGTAGAGAGTTTTAGTGAATTTTGTCTCATGGAATTGACGCTCCCCCATTTTTACCAAAACTCTCAACTATATATTATTCTCCGTTGGACCAAACAGACAAAACAAAAAACAAGCAAACCCTCATTCTTCCAAGACATTATATATTCTCATCCAAAAGCGTCGTGAGCAATTGTCGTTTGTATTTACATGTGGGCCAATTAACTTTGGGTCTCAACTGGCACGTGGACCAAAACTCCCGTGCCGAAAAAACGCGTGGACGTAAATTACTGGAAAAAACAGGTGACAAAAAATCGTTGACGAAATGTCCCATAACCGGAGGGAATGCTTGCCAGGGTTTTAGCACTTTTAATTTTGTTGGCATTTTTTTCGGGACTATATCATTTTAATTGATTTAAAGAAAATGCATGCTACTAAAATTCATAACAAACTGTCATATTCCCAGTCGTGATATTCTGAGGGCAAAAAAATATTATGGTGCATATTTAAAGAATTTTCTTCGTTTTTCAGTGTATGATTCATTCGTGGTATTTAGCCGTGGACATGCAGCTGTTTATTTTAATGTCCATTGTGGCCGTTTTTATCTTCAATCATCCGAGGAAAGCTAAGTTTGTGTTGGGGACACTCGTTTCTCTATCAGTCGTTATCCCTGCTATCTGCGTGTATTGCGGAAAGTACTTCGCCGTAATCTTTGCGTTCCAACAGTAAGATTGACTATCATATTGTATCTTTGTCAATAGGTATGACAAAAAACATTTCTATGCGTGTAAGATCCAGAATAACTGACGAATGAGCTTCTTTGTTAGTGATTTTTAATGATTGAATGTTTGAAACGTATAGAGAGCTCTGTGTAACCTGGAATTTTCCTGGATTTTTTTTTTCAAAAGAGTGTCCCTGCATGAATATTTTAAAAAGTACTAGCACAGGTTCCTTCTCACAAATTAGATAATCAGTTGTACTTATTTTTTACCGACACTCATTATTTCTGTAGATGGATCTGGATGGTTCAGACTTATGAGATTGTTCCATTTTTCACAAAAGTTAACCAAAATTGGAGGCTAAAATCGAAAGATGTGTATGTTGTTCTTCCAGTAATCAACTGGAGAGAACTTATTGATTATGATGTTGCAAATTCCAACCCAAATTTAATTTTTTTTTAAAAAAGAATAAATCATAGTAATCGGAGTCTATCCTTATAATGTCGATTCGCATTTTTCGGCTTTAGCCAGCGACATGAGTTCTCATGTTTTTCTCTCATTTTACAGATTTTTAAAGGATATTACTGCGGATCCAAATTTCCATCATATGTACATTAAAACGCACACCAGAGCGATTCCGTACATATTGGGATTAACAACTGCTCATGTCTATTTGAAGCTGAAAGAGAAACATGTGAAATTTACGACGGTAAGATGAATTTGGTGCATTTGTTGCAACACATGGTGCATAAGTATTTAAGTATACCATCGGTTTAAGGCAACTCAATCACAATAGAGTTGCTTATTGAACATTTTAGCGGCGATTTTCGCCAAAAAAATTATCTCCTTCTTCTTCTTCATCATGTCCTTATTCTTGGAAACGGATACTCACTGATGTCCATTGCCTAAACAGTGTCTCTACTATAAGCTCAACAACTTTATTCTTATAGTGTCAAAATTAAGCGAGTGATTCATGAATTCTTCATCTCGGTACATTGCATATCACTGGAAAAAAAAAACACATTGGATCTAGAGTCCAGACCCTTGAAAACATTGACAAGAAAATGGACTCTTGATTCAATCAGATTTAAACTTAAATCAAGAACCAAGCCTCTTAATTTGAGCGGATTTCTTTTTGATTTAAGCTTAAATCTGATTGAATCAAGAGTCCATTTTCTTGTCAATGTTTTCAAGAGTCTGGACTCTAGATCCAATGTGGTTTTTTTTCAGTGATTGATGGGATACGTCGATTAGCTCTAATCAGCCTTTTCCCAGATTTTTTAAGATTTCTGGAAATGAGTATAGTGCTGAAAAATGCCTATCTTATGAGTAGGTAATGCACGTTTGTATTGAACGACAGGAAGTTGAAATGCAGCGGTTTTGAATGGTCAAAAGCTCCTACAAATATCCTTTAATTGCGGACCTACACCTAAATGTTGTACATTTTCTTCTGCATTATGCCTCTGACATGGCTTAGTATTCTTGAACAAACTTCATTCAGAACAAAACAAGAAAAAACTAAAACTCCGTTAATTTCATGCAGTTTCAGTTGTGGGTAGGCGTTGGGCTTTGCTTTCTACTTGGAAACTCGGCTGTACTGTACAGTGCCCTGCTTTACTTGCCTGGATGGCCCTACAACATTGTTGAGCACATGGTCTACAACCCTCTGCACAGAGTCATGTTCGCTTTAGTCCCGTGCTTCATTCTCATCGGTCAAGGGACTACCGGCTTTGGTGAGTAAATAAAAACCTTCGATTCGGATATGCCTACCTCTGCTCGGGACGTGGAATAATTTGGAAAATCTGTCATCTTTTAAATATTTCAAATACATTTTTAAAACATTGAGTGATTTCAAAACCTGCACACCTCTGATCCGGGGAAGTCTCTCGACTAGACCCTTGTTGATGATCAAGCACCCCCTTCGACCCCCCTTGAAAGCCTAATCTACCGTGCTAAGGACGCCGTATGAGCCATCTGGCGTTGCCAGATTTCCTTCGACAAATCACGAATTTTCAGGAAAATCTGAGAATATTTCTCCTCCAAATTTTTACAGGTTTTCGTTCATAGTTGGATCTAAAAAGTCTGAAAATTTCAAGGGAAAATATTCATAATTTTCTTCAAATATAAATATCTTTGAAGAGGAAATTTGGCAACTCTCGAATGTTCATACGGCGTTCTTCCGTGGCACGGCAGTAATCCGCTCGTGTTTCCGCTCGAGAAATAAAATAAAATCTTCAACATTTTGCTTAAAAATTTTCTTTGGAAATTCGTGGTTGAAAGAAAAAAAAATCAACGATAGGAAGAGACGATACGAATCATAAGAAATCATTACGTTTGAAATAAATAAACATGCCAAGGCGCCTTCAGTTACTTGCACGGTAGAAAGATGCAGGATGCAGTGCAACGATAATTGTCAGCATTGTTCGCGACGCTTCGACGCAACTATAAATGCTCAAGAGATATCCGTGCTGCATATTCTCGATAATGAAGGCGCCACGGTTAACTTTTCTGGGCGATGATGAGCGCATCACACTCACACGACAACTAACGACGGCAATATTGCATACAGGGATTTCGAACGGTTTCTTGCTGTTATCGTTGCTTGATTTGTTCTTTTCTTATTGAAATTGTTAGAAATACATTAATTGTTTTTCTATCTGATTTTCAGGAATAGCGAGCAGATTTACATCAGCACCTCTATTTGTATCTCTGGGCCGTCTCACATACAGCGCGTATTTAGTTCACCCGATAGTTCAGTTGATCGTGATCTATTCTGATCGAACGTCTTTTTCACTTTCTTTCATACGAATTGTGAGTTATCATTAACATTCGGACTATATTTACTTAAGGAAAAATTATTGTGATTTGTTGGGACAGGAAGTTTTTAACAGGGCCGGATTAAGAAGGTGGCCACATGGGCCGCGGCCCATATGGCGGCAAATTTAGGGGGCGGTAAATTTTGTAATTTTTTTTAAATGTAGGTGTAAAAAAATCGGTTTCGCGGAAAAATTATACATGAGAAAAGGGAACGAAATTTCTCTTTCCTGAGAGTATAGCAATTTCTAATTTTGTCTTTTTTCGGTGATACAAGAAATATCATATTCAATTAGAAGAAGGAAGAGAGGAACTGAACACGCAATTTGGCCTGGAGCCTGGAGCTCAACGCAGAAAGAAATGATGACGAGGACTTGAGATGAAAAAGACAAGCCCTCGGCGCAGCGATCAGCATGTAACACATATTAGCGCCTACAAGACTGCATGAATACTTCAAGCATTGCGCCAAACACAGTGCGGTCAGGAGCGGTTGGCGTGAAACGTACAGCGCCTACAAGACTGCAGAAATACTTCACGCATTGCGCCAATCACAGTGCGATCAGAGCGGCGCAGCGGCGGAAGTTAAAATTATTAAACCACATTTATGTTTCTTCTTTCATAATTTTTTGGTTCATTTCTTATAAATGGAGGACCTTGTCCACATAGAGATAGGTTTCCGGAACTTAACTTTTGCGCAAAGTTCCGTAAAATTTTGCTAGTAGTGTTGACAGGGCTTCCGCAAAAAATGTATTCAAAACGAGAAGGTAAACGTGTCTTGTGCACCCCTCCCCCTCCGGCACGTTCACTTGATGGTTTTGATTGATGTTTCAAAACGAATGAGAAGGAAGCGGCAAAATACAGGCGGCCCATGCGCGGCAAGTAGGTAAATCCGGCCCTGGTTTTTAAAGTAACACACACCGGGGAAACTCTTGAAAACATTGACAAGAAAAAATACTCTTAATTCAATCGGAGTTTTGCTTGAATCGAAGCGAAATCCGCTGAAATTAAGAGACTTGGTTCTTGATTCTCATGGAATCAAGAGTACTTTTTCTTGTCGATGTTTTTAAGAGTCTGGACTTTAGATCCAATGTGTTTTTTTTCCAGTGCATGTTTATCGACTGTAAAAGTACTAAGTGCGAGAGCACGTATCTTCCTTGACCTTGCAACCCTGATTACCACTTAGGCACAAATCCCTAACAAAAATAGCTTCCTACTTTGCAGCTATACATTCTGCTTTTTACAATATAAATTATTGTAGGAATTCTGATTGAATGATATCTATTTCTATTTACTAATTTGCAGGCATGGTCAACTTGTGGAGACGTATTTATGTCATTTGTACTGGCAGTAGTCTTGAATCTTCTTTTTGAATCACCAGTGGATCGGTTACAAAAGAAAATCTTCCATTCTTTCATTCGCGGTGAGTTAACAATTATCTCAAATAATATTTCTTTCATATCAGAGAGATAGACTATGCCCTGTTCAACTACGAAATTCAAATTGAAAATACTACTGCAGCTAGCAGACAGCTCGGTCGTTGAAAACTTTCAGCGGTCTCTTTAAAAGAAGACAGATTATAATATGAGAGTGAATATTATTCACTTAAAAGATCAAAACGATTAGGTAATATGATATCTGGTTGAAAACTATTTTTGAAACAAAATATTTTAAAACGATCTTTGAAAAAACCGAATGCAATGCTTCTCATATTTCATTGCTGTTAATTTCTATTTACTAAGTATTTATGCTTTTCTCTTTCTCTAGAGTACAAAGAACCCGTTAAAACATTGAAGCAAAATGGTGAGAACCAAATATCTAAAAAACAAGAGGTCATCCCAGCTCAGGAGAGATTACCATCGTGAATCCTGGAAGTCTCTTTTTTGGCCTCAGAAAGAAAGTGATATTTTATTGCATATTACTTTCAAGGTAGAAAATTCACTACTCTTGATTATCATCAAATGCTAGGATAAAAACTTACTGGACCTAAAATTTTCTCAAATGAGTAAAGCAAGTGTATGCAAAGCAGGGATTCAAACAAGTATAACTGTTTCATGATCAAATTATTTGGCTGATAAAAGAAAATATTTGAAAAAAGAGATTATATTGGTAAATTTGAAATTTAAATGGTTCGCAGTTTTACTAAAAGAATACTTACAGAAAAAAAACTAAGGATAAAAATGCAAATGAAAACAGTTAGGTAAGTTTATGGGGTCAAAATTTTTATTCAACAGGATTTATCTCAAAACACTGCCAGATAATATTGAAGAATAACATTATTCTGCAGTCAATAAATTACGTACCTTTAAAGTTGTTTGAGGAAGTGTCATCTTATTTCTTAGTAGGCTTTGTAATTATTGTACAAAATAATGTAAATAACTTGTTAGTTGTTTGTAAAAAAAAAGAAAAATCAATGCTCTGAAAATGTTGTTCTTTTGATTTCATTCACCCCTCTTTCCTCATGGATGTACCAAACTAAACATGGTTAAAATTGGACATCATCAAGACTCAAGAGCCATTTTCGGAATTATCATTGTGCATTACTTTAAAAAATGAAAGATGCTAAACAAGAAAGCAAAGTTTAAATATTATAAAATGCACTTGATGGGTGGTATAGGGCTACACTGCTACAGCTCTGCAATGTGAGATCCATAATCATTTACTTAACGATCCATCTTTAAGAATTTATAGTATTTTATGGAAAACAAGAATTTAGCGTCAAACTCCATTGAAAAAACTAATGAAAATGGGGAACAGTGTTTTGTGAAGAAATCATAATTTATAGAGAAGGTTCTGCATATACATCACACAGGCATATCACGTAGTTAAAGGCATATAAAAATGGGCAAAGAGCTTAAAATTACCTACACTTGAATTACCCCTGATACAGTGATACCTAAGTAGCATGATCCAAGATGTAAAATTAGAATGTCTAATTTGCTCAGAGACTAGAATAGAAACAGATGCTTATCTAGGGCGACATCTTGCGCATTATAATTCTATGAGAAAAATCAACAGGTTTAACTGACTTTATATTGATGAAGAGTAACTTCAATATTACTGTGGGAAAAACTTAAAGATGTGGTGAGTTGTGAGCTGATCTCAAATAAGGCTCAATGAGGGCTCGATTAAGAAAATGATAAAAAAAACTATTCTTTCTAAAATGGACCACTAGACAAGGTACGAATTTCAGCATTCTGATACATGATTCGTAACTAAAATTTCACGTAGAATACGACGCGCACAACGAAAATTACCGAATTCAACTCCTTCCAAAGATATTTAACGATTCTTGATACGTGAATTCAAACCACCCGCTCATGAAAACTCAATTCTCTATGTGATTCACATCGCGCGCTGAATATTATTATGACAGTCTCTGCTATATAAAAATCTGGCAACCTCAATCTTGACGCTTTGGCTCAGCTATGGCAAATTGCTTACCTATAGTTTGAACAACACATGGTGGGAAATGAACATTGCTCGATTGAGAAGCTTTCTGAAACCGTTGTAGTGAGCGATTTGACTCACGTAGAGCTTTGAGTTTCTTGAGAGCGGGCAGTTCAAATTCCTCGTAACCAATGTGAAATAAAAACGATAATATCTTCGTTAGGAGTCAGTTTCAATAATTTTCGTTGCGCGAATCGTGTTTTACGTGAAATTCTGATGAAGAAACATGTATCAGATTGCTTAAATTCGTACCTTGTCTAGTGGTCCATTGAGAGTCAAATTGATTCAGAACACTGATGCAACACTAAAATCCAAGATAAAATAAATTGTAGTCCAGCTCTGTGGCAGAGTTATAAAAAGAAGCTATGCTAAGAGCTCAGCTGGCACTGTTGAATCGTTACGTAGAAAAACAAACTATAAAATGACAAATAAATGTTGAACTAAAGTAGCAGTAATGAAAATAAATACAAACACAGTAACAAATAAATATTTACTATACCTAGTCATAAAAAATAAATTTTTAATAATCAACAACATTATAATAATACGACTAACAGGTCTTTTAATGAATTGTCAGACAAACATTGTACAGTTTGCTCAAATTGTAAAGGTCGTTTTCATTAAAATTTGATTACCATCTTTTTCATTGCATTTATTAGCAAAAATTGAGGTAATATTTACGAACCTATAAAACAGAAAAATAACAATTGAGCATTGCTCCATTCTTAAAAAGCATTACGGGCCACTTTCAAGACCATTAATGGAATGCTCATTGGTAAACAGAATAGCAGATGGTTTTACCTACTGACAGCATGTAGCCACTCTGCCACTAGTCTCATTTTGTAACCAAAGGTGAGGTGATAAGGTTCCGAAAAAAAACCATGCCAATTTTTATTTATAAGATTTTACCACCTATTTCTAACATTTCCTTGACACACAAAATTTTCTCACGACACTTTCCCAAAGCCTTTCCTCTCTCTTTTTCGGCAGAATCTATTTTCTCCCATCCATCCCAATCAACTACTGGAGTATTGTTTTTGCTTATTATCTCCTTAATAATGGGAAACCCTTGTTTTGAGGATTTGATGTCAATTTTCATGTCTTTCAAGTCAGTTGCAATTGATTGTGCAGTCTGAAATGCATTTGACATGGTCGATAAAATTACACCCGATGGACCAGTTGCCAACCATCCAGCAGCATAAACATTCTCACAGTTTTTAACAGTACTAGTTTTTTCATCAAATGGAATACCAGGATCCACAGACACTGATTTGTATCCTATTGACCTAAGAGCAAGTCCACATTCGATGGATTCAACCTCTGAACTTGGCACAGCTTTGTCCCCTTCTAATTTGTTCACTACAAAATTAACTTTTTCTACCGACTGAGTGCCTTCAAAATTATTTGGTGACCTAAAAAATAGTGGGCAAAATTTTTTTGTTACACCAGCTGGGGGCGTTTTCTGAGAGGCATCAAATATAAGTTGGGTCAGTCGCTTTCTGGGTCGAGGAAGGTTTTCAATGGCCTCAGGCACGCCACTCAACTGCCCTGACTGGAAGAGAGTCGACACTCCTGGTAAATTCAACATTTCCCGGAACTCTTTAATTGTAAATGCTACCTGAAGTGGCCCACGGCGACCTACTAGAAAGACTGTCTTGACTTTACTACGAGATAAGGTATCTAAAGCTCTGGAGGTAATATCGGTGGATTTTAAAATATCTACTGGAGATAGAAGTATTCTGGCAATATCAACAGCTACATTACCTTGTCCTACGATAACAGCTGTTTCAGTATCAAGATTTACATCAAGCTCACTATCGTCAGGTAATCCATTGTACCATCCAACAAATCTCCTTGCTGAGAGGACATTTTTTAGGCTTTCTCCAGGAATACCAAACTCTCGGTCATGATCTGCTCCATATGTGAGTACAATAATGTGATAGGCCGCTTTCAAGTCACTCAAAGTAATATCTTGACCTATACAGACAATCAATCAAACAAATTGTAGAAAAAATTTAAGAGAGACAAAAAAAGCTATGCAATTCGTGCTTACGCACTCTTTTGAAGACTCTGAACACAATATTTCATAGTGATAGAGCGGTTTGGATATTTTATGGTTTATTTGTAATTGATCTATCGGCAACCAATTTAGGGTAGGCAAAAATGAACTTTTCAACAAGAAGAGCTGCTACGGCAAGGGAGTGCAATGGCATTTTCAGTAGATCATATTCTCAATGAGCAAAACACGAAAAATATCCAGGAAATTTTAAGAAATTTATTACACTTGCATCAAAAAAAGTGGCCTACAATCGAAAAGAAGTAACTACTACACATAGAGCATCCATCTTTTCCCTCAATTTTACTTTTTATGAGGTTTGACCAAAACTGAAACTAACCAGAATTCAATTGGTTACCTTTGAGATTTCGAATTGAATCTTGTTCCTTGACTGTAAGATGAGACCCAATAAAAATATTACAGGGTTCCAGTCGAATGCTGACCCTGTATTGACTCCAAAGCTTGCCGAAGCTCTAAAGCAGGAGAAGTTGGCATACCTACTTGTTTGATATTATCTCTGGAAGAAAATATTTTGTGATCTTACCTAGGGTGACATTGCCGATGAAATTGACTTGAGGGCTGCTTGCGGTTTTGGTGAATGTGTTGATGACATTCTTGACATCTGGATGATCAGGAGCTACACCAAATCTGACAAGACCAAATGGTACGGGAAGCTTCTCAAATATGTCAATGGTTACATCTGGTATCAGTTTCAATAACTGTTGCGCCGAGTAAAAACCGGCAGGACCACTCCCCACAATACATGCATTTAATAACTTGGATCCAGTCGTATGAAAGTGGCGTCTAAACGATTTTGAGATAAGTTTGATGGTGATGTTCATTATGATGCATTCCAAAGCAGACGCACAGGTTACGGAGATAGCAGTATCAGATATGAATGCTGAAGAAAATAATGACTTCTGTCAAGAATTCTCAACAATGACATTTGTACTTTCCAATAATTAGGCATTCAGACATTTCGAAGAAATTAATACCCAAGGATTCAAATGATATTTGTGGGCAAAACCAAGCAATCAACATGAAAACTTCAGTGAGGTAAAGGGTGAAGAAATAACTAGAAGTGGCAAGTTTAGACTTTCAATAAACGAATAACACTGAGTTTCAGAAAAGCACAACTCGATACTATAGTCAGTCACGTCTCACGAGAACAGAGATAAACCACTTAAATATAGTAAAACACGACAGATAACACTTTCGAACTTTCACCTGAAAAGTTTTGTTTACAATGTTTACATAAACCTAACCTCTGTAAACACACATTCCAGCAACCAGCAACGTTGAGCTCCCGCGTCGCCATCGAACAACACCGTGACGCGGGAAGTTCAATTTTGCGCTCTACTCTTGGTCAAGCGCATTTTATACTTTTTCATTTCAATACAAAAAGAAACTTTAGGGGAAAAGTCTTAAAACTCTTTGTCCCCTAAATGCTATTTTCTCTAATTTCATTATTTTACAAATATCGTTCCAGTCTATCTAGATTTTTTTTGTGTTTTTTGTTTGTTTGTTTTTTTTTTTTTTTTTTTTGGCGATAGGATGATACAATCTGTTGAAGGTGTCAAAGAAAAGCAAGAATCTTCCGGCGAAATGAGGACGGATCAGCAGAGACGAGCGAAGGAAAATCTCCTTTGGATACGCCTAATTCGCAAATAAACGTTTGTTTTAATTAAAGTAACTGTCACATTTACATAATATACAGCCCTTCCTGAGAGAATGGTGGGTCAATTCCGTCCTTTTTGAGAAAACGACATGCCCATGTGACGGCACCGTGTAACCCACCCATTATCACACTGTTAATATATTAAGCACGCTGTAAACGCTCTTGCAGCACCCTAAACATGTCTTCCATATTTGCATGCAGCCAATCAGGATCATATTCAACCCCTCAACGTGGAAATGATCACTGCTTGAACCACCAGGTTATAATATATTCCATTTTGAAAAGCTCACTATTTGAAGCATGTTTTAGTTTTATACCCTAAAAATGGTCCAACTTTCAACTTTTTCTTACACCACCTCTCGCAAAAAAGGAGAAATTTTCTCCTTACCATATTTTCGTTTCCATACCACCCTAGGAGATGCTAGTCACGTGAATGGTGCGGAACATTGGAATTATTTTAGAAAAAAAAATGCACAGCCTTAGCAGCATTGCAAATCGATGGTGAAACTACCAGATCACTTATCTCGTTTGCGGTGTTTAAAAATCACTGCTCCCATTTTATTTTTTTGACGGAGAACAAATCAATAACATTTCTTCAAATTTTCTTAGGGTTGCCTTCGCACAAAGTAAAAAAAAACTATAGACATTTTCAAGAATTGACGTTGTTTAGTATTCTATTTAAAAAATAAAGTATGACAGGAAGTCTACAGCGTCGCAAACTGAGATACGTGGTCTGGTAGTTTCACCGAAATATATCAGCTCTATTTGCACAATAAAATCCAATTATCGAAGGTGAAAAATGTCGAACCGGTTTTTTCTCAAATTTTCACCAGTTTCGACGAGACGAGACACATTGGAATAGCGCAGATTTAATGGTAGACCTATCCATAGAGTGAGAATATTCCGAAAATTCAAGGAATCGAATTGCAATAAATTGCAGGACCACGCGCCTATCGCCGTGAGACTATCAGTCAGAGGAAACGCCCACGAGAGTGTGCACGCAACGAGCGCGGCCGTGCCACATAAGTTGCATAAGCTAGCGTGCTCAGGCGCTGTTGAAACTTATCAAACTGAAATATCGCATCGAGTTGACTGAAATTCGCTGATAAGTGATCATCAAGTCCCATTTCCTCCCTCTCTACATTCGTTTCCTTTGGGATATTGTCCTAGTTAAGGAGTCCGCGGTGTTCTTGTCGGGAATTTTTCGAAACTTAACCGTGTAAATGAATTATCCTCCACTCTAAAGTTTCAAAAGACTCTGAGTAGTTCAATAAATTAACGCAGACCTCTTGGTTTCCTTCATTTTTAGATCTTATACAGATTGCAAATGTTCACGATATTATGCTTTTATGTAGCATGAGAAATCTACAAAGGAAGAAGACTCGATTTTCGTAACATTTTCTTCAATTTTTAAGAACGTTTTCTGCATGAGGATACTTTTTGTTTTAAATTAAAAATGTAATTATCTTTATGGTACCTACTTTTATTGAATGTTTCAGAAAATTAGAAATGCTTCGCGCTTGTAGCCGTTGTGCGTTAGCGTCACTCTTATGATTTATTGCATATCGACGGTGTAAGTCGGCGATCACATAACTCGGTTTGCGACGTCGCAGCAGACTTCCTGTCATACTTTATTTTTTAAACGGAAAACTACTCAACGGCCATTCTTTAAAACGGCCGTGATTTTTCTTCTCTGTGCGAAGAAAAGTCTACAAAAACATCAAGGAATGATGTCAATTTTTGCTCCTTTAAAAAAATAACATAGAGGCGGAGATTATCAGACCCCGCAAACGAGGTATGTGATTGCGGACTTACGCCGTCGATATGTATGAATTACGATTCTTCATAGTATTTTGTGGTTTTGTGTGAGAGTTATCATAAAACTCCTTAAATATTATTTTACAGGATTATAACAACACATCACACACACTTTACGGAATATGATCGAATTTTTTTCTATTTATTTATTTCTTTTATTTTTATTTGAAATTTTAAGTTTTACACGCATTGTTTTAATTACTTTGGACATAGCGAAATTGTGTGAAAGTATTTACCTACTTCCAATAAAATTATATGTAATTCTTCCTTGCGGGTGATATATTCATACCAATTGAAAATTCCTAAGGTATGATTTAATATTTTTTTTTTCAATTTCCTAGGTGCACTGTACAGATTAGATACATGCGGCATACTGTGACGTACTTTTTTCACTTTTGAGCTAGTGGTATTTCTAAACGGATTTTAATAGCTCACGCCGCACGTCTTAATTACCAACGCGCACGAAAAAAAGACCTCAAGGGACGTCAAGGAACCTGAATATCTCGTTCAGTCTAAAGCTCAGGTGCTTAGATACAGTCCCTCTGGAGATGCGAAGCCAGTCTACCGTTGCACATAGAAAACTTACACATCTGGCTTTCAGAAGTCATTCTCAAAAAAGAGACTTGACATCAGAAAGTTTCTTGGCTAAAATCTGTTGGGATTTTTCATTTTACAACCTATTTTATGCAGTGCATAAATTCTTGCAATTTCTCATCAAAGTCAGAATCTCCAATATTCCGAAACCACGCTTGCGGCCTCCGCTCCGCCGTAATTTTAAGTTTTATGGGGCCCTGTCATTGTTCGCCTGCAAAGTTTGCAACAAAGTATGAGGAAATATGTCGACATTTTTAATAAGAGCCTAATATTTGCCGCTATTGATCTATCGAGGGCAATAGACGTTTTGCTTAAATTTTTTATTTTACACCATCCTCGCTCACGGTTGCCAGACTGGGCTGAAACTCGATTCAGTCTTCATCCGTGTTCTTTTTAAAATTAGGGATTATCGTGCACGATTTTATCGCTCGCTCCTCATTTATCTCTCGGTGTTTTCGAAGAGCCGGTAGCATCTCGGAAACTGATCTCATGGGTGGGTTTCCGACTCAACACCCCTTTTGTGCCTTTGCGCGTCATCTTTCCCGGGCCTTTCTTGGGGGATGCTTTCATCAAGAGTTTCGATCAAAACTTAATCAAAAGCCGAGGAGCTCATTTAGCGAAACTGGGCTCAGCTGCATGTCACCGCCACCGCACATAGGCCAGGACCACGGGGTTGAAAAGCTCCGAGGGCTTGTCAATGAGGGAGTTAATAAACATGTTCAATTTAAGGGAAACTAATCAACACATTACCGTCCTTGAGTTTAGATTAAAATCTACGCTTGATCTTGAAAATATTCTTGCTTATTTCTGAGATAGATCAGAGATGCCCGAGCCTCAGACCCTAGCTAACATAAAAAAAATTAAAACAAAAAAATTAAAAAAACGAAGTATGTTGTATAAATATGTGTGATCATGGACTCCTTCGAGAGGTTTAAAAAAATAATTTGCACGACAAATTTTTGTTGCTGCATCTCAGTGTGCCAAATGAGCTGCGTTTGCAGTATTTTTCAAGATTTTTTCCGATTTGGGAAACCGTAGAAACGTTGATTTAAAAGTGAGAAAATCTGCCGTCTTTTGCCGTCATCGGGCCATATTTTTCATTTAAACAAATGCATTTTAGTTGACTAGATAATTTGGTCATATTTTCTAATGATTTTTCATTTTAGGAACCAAGGATATTCTCATTCACTTCACTCAGTAGTTTCTTTTAAAACAAGAAATTCACAAAATTTTGACACTTGCAAATTCTCCATTGTTTGATTTTAATGTGAAGTGCAAATTCTAATTTTGCACTCAGAATCGATTTTAAAAAATTGCAATATTTATAACGTGGCTCGCGTGGATTTTGGTTAAAAATCGCACTTTTTGGTCGTGTTTCAATCCAAATCCCATCTATTGGTCCATTTTTTACCAGAAGACCAAGGACAACCATTCGCCTTGCATCGCAGTTTATTTTGTCCTTTATTGGATTCATTTATTTTACACCTTTTTAAACCATTCGGACATCAGTATGTACAGGACTTGTCAAAATAAAAATACTTAAAATGAGTCCACTAATTCGTGACACGGCAGTTCGATAGTTGAGAGCATCGTGCGGGAGTTAGCATTGACGTCAAGCAACTATTTTAACTCTCCGGAGGAGCAAATTGCACACTGACCGAAATGAAGGAGCTTTGACGGAATCTGACGAATCGCGACCCAGCGCTTAAACTGAGACTGATGCGTGCCGATGCGGATGGTTTTTTTTTACTTCACCGGATACTAAGTGAAGTAACCAACGGAATGAAAGATGTTCAGGTAAATTAGATAATTATTGACCAATCAGTGGAGCGATGAAAACTAAATAATAATCTTGGCCCTATCAGTATCTTTCAGCGGGTCCTAGGCGTGTTCTCTCACTGCATAACTCCCAACTGAGTTTATGTGAATCTTTTTTTTAAAAACTTACACTAGGGAAAGTTCTGCTCGCATTAGATTTCTGAGTTGTGATTTCTCTTAGTTTCAATATATTTTCTTATTTCATATTCCTCAATTTTAATCCGCTCTTAAATTTTTCTTCGCTGTTTCATTTTCGTACCGCTGGTCCTGAAGCAAGTCTCGTTCGAAGTGAAGCCTCCACAAGATGGCTGTTTGCCATTTAGTCAAATAGTGCGCATCGATTACGATGCCGTAAAAAGGTCGCTCTCCTTTGAGGGTAATTGATGGCAACACTTGGGTAAACATCCACCATTTTAGAGCTTTATTTTGAATGTGTGTCCACTATCCAGGGCTTTGAAGATCCGCAAACCAGCGTACCACAGTATAAAATCTATCGATATATTCAGCTCCATCTTTGCATGGACAGTATATTGAGCACAAAAGGTATACCATCTCTAATACAACGAGGATATTGCATCATTTCAGCCTCGGCTGTAAGTGCTAATCTTCAGTCTATGAATTTATTTAGAATAAATAGTACCATCAAGTGTTCGTGAAGCTTTGCACCGCAGTTGATGGTCACATCAAAAATACTCGACGCGTGCTGGAGCCCCATTTCCGTAACTCAATGATGAATTTTCGTAATCAGGTAAGTGTGGTTACGAGGTGATTGCTCAATGATGCAGGATCTTCATGTTAGTTTATCCCTAAACGCATCCAGGGCCGGATTTACCTACTTGCCGCCCATGGACCGCCTGTATTTTGCCGCTCCCTTCTTATTCGTTTTGAAACATCAATAAAAACCATCAAGTGAACATGCCGGAGGGGGAGGAGTGCATAGGACGCGTTTACTTGTGTTAGACACATTTTTTGCGAAAGCCCTGTCAATACTACCAGCAAAAGTTTACGGAACTTTGCGCAAAAGTTAAGTTCCGTAAACCTATATCTGTGTGGACAACGCCTTCCATTTACCTATAGGAATGAACGAAAAAATTATGAAAGAACATACATAAATGTGGATTAATAATCTTAACCTCCGCCGCGCCGCGCTGACCGCACTGTATTTGGCGCAATGCGTGAAGTATTCCTTCAGTTTTGTAGGCGCTATGAGTTTCACGCCGACCGCTGCGGAACGCACTGTGTTTGACGCAATGCGTGAGGTATTCATGCAGTCTTGTGGGCGCTAATATGTGTTACATGCCGAATTGCCGATCGCCGCGCCGAGGACTTCTCCTTTTCATCTCAAGTCCGAAGTCCTCGTCATCATTGTTCTCTGCACCGCCGCGCCGTTTCAGACCAAATTGCTTGTTTGGTGTCTCTTTTAACTCGACTTATTAAAGGTGCTGTTTCTTGTATCACCGAAAGAAGACAAAATTAGAAATTACCATTCCTTTATTCCTAGGAAATGAGAGATTTTGTGGCCTTTTCTCGTTTGTAATTTTATATCTGAATCCGATTTTTTTAATTCCTACATTTGAGCATATATCAAAATTTGCCGCCTGCGCCGCCTGCGGGCTGATTGTTGAAATTGATAGAGAAAGCTGCAGACAAAGAGGACAAAAGGAATATGAAGGAATCCTATTGGTGGTAGCGGCTGGTTGCAATGGACAAAGGAGGTAGATAATAGGCTAACTAACGGCAACTTACGAGAGACCTTTAGTTAGTCTATCATTTACCCTCGTACTTTATAAGAACCACCCATTTCAATCAATAAGAAACCTCCATACTCCCTATGTCTTCTTTGTCTATTGCTTTGTCTCTATCAATTTCAACAATCAGCCCTCGGCAGGTGAACGCGATTGATAGATGACAATTGACCGGGAGGTCAAATGGCTGATTCTTGCAATTGATAGACGAAGCGATAGATGAATAATACAAAGGGAAAATGAAGCGATCATATAGGTGGAATGGACAACGGAGGTGAGTATAATCGACTAACTAACGGCAACCCACGAGAGACCGTGGACTAAAGCGCCATGTGCCTTTGTATTGCATAGGAGGGAGGGTCGTAAGGGGTGATTCCCCCGGGGGGGCCCCCGTTTCCCGCCCTAAAAAAGGAAGGGAAAAAGGGGGGAAAGGAAAAAGAAAGGAACGGAGGAATGAAGAAGGGAGGGTGCTTGCTTATATTTGGCTGTTTATCACTAAATTGGATTGAACTGCATACTGGATTTTTGAAAATTCTCCGGGAAGCCCTCGACCCCCCTTCCACCCCCTCATCTTACCCCCTCCAATGTACCCCCATGTGCCCGCCATGTGCCCCCCATATGCCCCTCCGTGCTCTCCCATCTGCCCGCTATGTGGAATCGCCCGTAAGTGGTATTTGCCGACGTATTTGCATGTATCCGTAATCTCTGATTCTGATTCTGATTCTGATTCTGACCTACCCTTACCCTTTCACCCCAGCTTTAATTAAAACCTAAATATCTTTCCAATTTCAAATCCCTTCTGAGGCTGCAGTATCCTTCGGATAAAAGCCTAGAACAACATACAAAAACAACAACAAAATCCAAAATTATGAAAATTCATGTTTCTTCGAAAATTTCGAATTTCATCGGACGAAATTCGACAAGACCAGAAGGCTCATACGCGCGGCTTTCTTCCTCAGGACGGCAGGGTAGGTGCCGTCGAATTGGGTCGGAATCCCGCGGGTCGTAATTTTCCGAGGCGGAGCGACGATAGGACTGCTGATAGCCGCTCGGCGGCGGCGGCGGCCGGCGCGGCTCAGCATCTCGCGCGAGTCGGCGGGCGAGCGGGACCCGGCCGCGCATTTGTTTACAACTCAGTGCGTCTTCGTCGCTTTCCTCGGCACGTCCACGTCCACTCGTCCGACTCGCTCCGAGTTCGAGACCGGGAAACCGTCACCCGTTGTCGCGTCCGTGCGTCGCGTCGCCGTCCGATTTTCGCGCAGATAGAGCCAACGACTTCCGCAAAACATCCTCAGGTTTTTTCGGCCGGAATCGCAATTAGCTCGGATTCGAACCCGCGTCGACCGAAACACGAGGGCTTTTCCATTCGTTACATTCCTGTCGTCAGTTTCGTCGAGAGACTGTCCTTAGTTGGTCGAGTGTCTCCACGTGGTTCGTAGTCGGTAGTTGAGAGACTCGAAGATTTTAGATCTGGTGCGAATCGTCCGAAAAGTCGTTGTGCGGGTTGCCGACTGTCTGTGTTCGGACCTCGAGTTTTGTGTCGGATCGTATTGTTTTCTCCAGCACTGATTTTGCGTTTTAACCACCTGTGCGATGTGTGTTATCTCCCCTGTTGATTAGACGTTGTTTTCGTGAGGTTGATGTGGATTTTGGAGCCGGAAAATCGTGGGTCCCTGCTGTTCCGAGATTTCCAAAGGTAAGCATGCTTAAAATGAAAATTCGTTGGAGAATTTTCAGAACTTGCTATCGAGGTGACAATTTTTGATTCATATCTAACTCTCGCTAACAGAAACGCAGTTACCTCGACTAAACTCATATCGAAAAATTTACTCATTACCTCCGTTTCCCATCTCATCCATTTTTGACGAAATTTTATAAAAATTTCACCGGTAAGTGAAAAACGAAAAAAATACTGACGAATTCTCTCAACTGAAGAATACTTACGATCCCTCGTTCTTTAGTTGTTTACCGGAGAACCAAAGAGAGGGAAAAAGGAAAAGATGATATGAAATGTAAAAGGCGGAATCTATGGGCGAGAAATTGACTTATCTTCTCTATTTGAGATGACTGCATTTGCCTCTGAAAAATAATTGAAAATGAAAAAATGAATAATCGTGATTGGTTTTTTACCTTGAAATTGGTGCTCCTAATAAAATGAACCACCGAAATCTAGTGTAAGCTTTGCTTGTTTCGCCATTGATAATTTTTTTACCCTTCGTAGTTTTTTTTTTTTAAACTTGCTTTAATAAGAGAGATTTTGTAAGAAGTGCCTAATGGGACTCCTCAAATGTTGTCATGAAGAGCTCCTTTTGGTTAAAGTTCAGGAGACGATCACTTCTCAGCCTTTGAGCCAACCCGTCTCTGTTTTTAGATAACCCTGAATATAGATTTAATAATACGTAAAGGTAAGACAACGATAAAAGTGTCGAGCATGAAAATTGCAGTTCATTTTTTTTTAAAATCAATAATGACCGAAATCATAACAGGTCGGCGGTAACAACCAAATGTCCAGTGACTGGGCATTAAGAGATCAGGAAACCAATTTTGTTAGTGAGTACTTAACGATGAGTAATAATGCATGCGACCCTAGTATGGAAGTGACAACACAAAGTGACTAGGAAAAGCCGCGCTTCTGATATCAAGAGCACGGACCCGTGACTCTCCTTTCTAGCTAGCATGTCATTTGATGGTTCCCCGCGACTGCCTTTAAAAGTGCTCGTAAAGGAAAAAAGACGACGGTTATAAAAATAAAAGCCTGAACAATAAGTCCACTTTATAACCTTGGAAAAGACTCCCAAACATCCTGGATCATCTGAGAAGATACTGAAGCAGTACTTTTTGGATACTTCTTGGTATAAGTAAGAGATGAAAGAGAGAAACTTTTCAAGACAATGTTAGTCATAATTGTTACATCGGGGGTAGCAGTTTATTAAGGAAAGCTTTGCACATTTTGGTGGTTGCAAGTCGTCCTTTTAGGATTGCAGTTCTATTGTAGTTCATTGTTACCACTTGCTATGTCAGAAAACTCTGCCGTATGTTCAGTCGTTATACTTGTTTTCCAATTATTTATTTTAATGTTTTTGTTTTAAGATTCTTATATGCATCGACGAAATCTTTAAAAGAAAATGTAAGCACTAAACATGTACAAATCAACGTAGAATATTATAATCAACAATATAATGCTTGATTTTGCGCACATTATTCATTTACAGGCCTGGCAGTCACCGATAATATAATTTTAATTCTACTATTTCATTCCTTTTGATGAAGTCTTAACGTATAGCAGGCAATTGGGACTATTAAAGCCACAAAATTGTGTCATTTTCGATCGGGTATACTATTAAAATGTCCAAAGATCTTTCATCAAATTTGAACAAATAATTGGATCCAAAAAAGTATTTCAAAGTGATAATGATATTTCACGGAAGAAACATTTCAATGCCTTATCTTTTTATTTAAAAAAATAGAAAAAATTAATCAGTGACTTAAATACTTCAAAGTTTGTCTTGAATATGAATTTTAAAGTTTTATTCAAGTCGTAAAGTAGTAGAAAAAAGCAATGAGCCACAACTTCATCAACAATGAGTAGTAGCTAAATGTTACAAGTATCTCTCAATTCTCAGCGTCTTTCATGATATCGTAGCCAACCATTTATCGGCTTTCGTTAAAGATTTGTAGAGAACGACTTGACGACGCATAGGTAGCAAAAATAATGTGAGAATACTTCGAAACAAAGGGCAGCATAGGATTTTCTGCCTCACACATAACAGCTGCATGCTATGAGGGGAAAATCAAAACTCCTTCGATTTCCCGTATATGCAACACGGACATCCATCAAGCACGAATAGTTGCAGGCGTGGTCATCATGCACTGTCTTGTCACGTCGCGTTGTCGCATATTTTAAGTGGACGGATTCATAATATAAAACAATTAAGCATAAACGAATTTAATGCAAACGAACTATGATCATACATAGACAACAGTTATTTTTTATTGAATTCACTCGCAGATAGGTCACACAATACCGCCAATACGTCCAATCTTCAAGTGCTAAGATTGTATTATAGCCGAAAGATTTCACTTTCCCTTACAATTTCGATTCAGATCACTTTACCGGTACCCCCTTTCCAACCTTAAAATTACTTGTTGCTTGTGAAGAATGGTTATGGAACACATACAATCGTGAAAACGTGAAATTAACCATACTTTAGGGGCGAGTCTTTGCAAGTTCTGTTCAGAGATGCACTATTGCACTTCTGCTGATTTGTTCACACTCCTACCCATACGTGTTGAACGTGTTTGAGGTTTCGTTAACAATACGTGTTTGAAATTCCGAAATTACATGAATCCAAAAAGTTCGACCTGACTCTTTGATGCTCAAAAATTGGGATTCGGGAGCGAATTTTGTACAGAATTCGCATTGTTACCAGTTTCACTCGCAATCATTAATATTTAAATTGTTTCAAAAACTGCACTTATGTGCCCTGTCCACCAAGCCCTTCAATTCATGAATAGCCCCCGACTGACTGTGACAAGTCGTCAAATTGCACTGATGAAGTCCGATGGAAGAAATTTCTCCGTGTCCGGTCCCGGCTGGGGAACGAATGAGCTGCTGTTCTTCGATTCTAATCGCGTGTCTTAATTTCATTGGCGTGGTGTGGCGGTTGGGCGCCTCTCATCAACTTCGGCGCGCGGTGGACCGAGTCGATGGGAGAGGTCGGACACGATTTAAAAACTGTAAAAGTGTATATTTTCATTAATGTGAAATGTCAATATGTTTAAAGAGGTTCCATTGGTTTTCTCGTCAAATTCTCTACCGGAAACATCCTTTAAAATTTAAAATTTCACGAAATAAACATGAAAGTTTAGTCTCCAAAGGCATGTCCAAACTTTTCTATTGACTTGTCCCACTGTGCGGCGGCCGTTGATTAGATTTGCGTGATGCGATGCGGTGCCGCGCAACTTTGGGCCCCGGCGGTCGTGGGCCAACGCTATAAATGGGTGCGTACACGCGTGAGCTCAAAGCGTCAATTCTAAGGGCGTACCTTCATCTCCGCGTGAGCCCTGTCCTCCGTATAACTCCATGTTCTGTAGGGCTCACGTCGGGATAGAAATACGTCCTTACGTTAGAGGAAGGACGAAAGCAGCCAACGGCTCCCTCTTTTCTCATCCCAACGTCCGAGTCGATAAAATATCCGCCCATTTTGCTCACTGTTCATCCTATCATAATAGAGAATTTGCAGGTGTCCGAAATTTGATGAATTTCGTGTTTAAGTGGAAACTACTGAGTGAACTGAACCCGAGGATACTCTTGGTTCATGAATTGAACTATTATTGGAGAAGATATGAAAAAATGATCTAATCTGATAAAATACGTGTGTTTAAATGGGAAATGCCGCCAGATGGCGTCACTAGGCGGTGAATTTTCTCACTTTTAAATCTATTTTTATACTATTTCTCATATCAGAAAAAAATTATAAAAAATACTGTGAAATCAGCTCTTTAAGCACTTTCAGACGAAGCAGTAAAAAATGCGCATGCAAATTCTCCATTAGACATCAAGAAGATGTGCTATATTATAGTTTCACTTTTAATTACTAGCGAAAAACGGCATCTTTAAGTCTGAAAAACATTTTAGCTGTTTATTAAAAAAAAAAAAAACTCTCAAAACTTCTAGTTAAAACGAGAGATTCGTAAAAGTTCTTAAATTGATACGAACAAGCTTTACAATCCCCCCATCCCTTCTGCCCAAAGTTCGGTCGTAATGGCGCCTCTACTTGTCAATCAATGACTCATCTAAAAACTGAGACCATATGTGAAAGTCCAGGTGGAAAGGGAGCCTAGTCCACAAATAATTAAAATTGAACCATAAATGAATACCTAAAATAACCAATAACGAAAAACCATACGTCAGCGCCATTAATCGCAATTTTTTAACTTCCGTATTTCATGACCGGCGTGAGATAGGGCTACCAAATTGTCTACACACACGGAACCGTTATTGCAAGTTCCCAAAATGGCACCAACTCGAGTTTTTAAAACATGTGAGGCAGGTACCTTTTGGCTCTGGGGTACTGAATGGCAAAATGTCATTCAATGGAGACGTTGCATGAGTGAAGAATTTGCGATTTAACTATTGATTCTGATGGAAAAGTTCGCGAGAGACACGATGGTGCCACTGGTTTTCTCTGAAATTAGCTCCCAAGCTCAAAAAAACCGCTCAAGTTGAGGCCAAAATGGAGGGGATATCCCACGCTATCCTGAGAGTCCACCTCTACATCCAAACAAACTCTCCATGCAAAGATAGGGAGCAAATACATTGACAGGGCTGCCACTTTATTTGGCGACTCTAAAACTGAAAACACGACAACCCTGCTAATGTATTTGCTCCCTATCTTTGCATGGAGAGTTTCTCTTGATGTAGAGGTGGACTCTCAGGATAGCGTGGGATATCCCCTCCATTTTGGCCTCGACTTGAAAACTTTTTTTGAACTTGGAAGTTGATTTCAGAGAAAACCAGTGGCACCATCGTGTTTCTCGCGAACTTTTACATAAGAATCAGTGGTCAAATCGCAAATTCCTCACACATGCAACATCTCCATTTGCAATTTATATAGACGACCTGAAAATTTGGCAACACCTGTCAAAGCTGCAGAAAGATGCGTGTCACGCGAGCGGGAGCACGTCGCGCGTATT